GTAAACATTAACATTATCTGTGTAATAAGATAATAATATACTACTAATAATTGTACTAAACGTGGCTAAAATCACATAGCTAACATACCTAATCTAGCTAATGATATCTAACCAAACAAACTTGGTTAGACTTGTATATCACCACTCTTCTCTAAATCTACAGTACATTACTAAAGCAAAGTGCTTGTCATGTGTGTTGTGTTTTTTATTCAAAATGTTTTATCTTTTCTTAATTTATATCTTTTCTTTTTTACAGGTTGGAGCAAACACGCATATCTGCAACAAACTGATAAGAATCTTAAATAATAATAAAGATTTACTTTCATTTAGGCCTAACAGTTTGTCATTATTGAGTAAATTTAGAACACTTTATGTATATAAGTAAAATTATATACAATATAAAATATTAAAGAAAAAAGAAAATTAAACACAATCGAGAAAAAAAAAATCTGCTCTAATCACCCAGTTTGTTCATGTTTCACGTGTTTTTCATATAACCCAGCAATTTTGGGTCAGATTAACCCAGCGTGTGTTCTGTCATATACAGACCCAGAACAGGATTATGAATATGACCCAAATAGGATTGTTTTTAACCCAGCATTTTTTTTTCATGATTTGTACAATATTTGTTCATGATCTCTTCCCAGTTTCTACTATATTAACTCATTGTAATTAATATTATTTACTGTATTAATTAACTAGTTAATATATTAGTCTGTCTGTTCATTTATATGCATTATTATTATATTATTATTATTATTATTATTATTATTGTTGTTGTTGTTGTTGAATGTTTACAATTATACATGCATTTCTAGATGTAATCTATTTTGCTTGACTGTTACAAAATATTAATTAATCATTGTTACCGTGTTAATTAGCTGCAGTACAGACAAAGTCTGTAATTCCAGTTAAGCTAAATGTGTTGGAGCTGAAAGTGCAAACTTACTTCATCTTGTTTATCAGTTACTGCATCTCACATCAGTTTGTCAGAATAATGTGAATAACTGCACTGACATTATGACTAAAGTACTGCATTATAATCAGCTGTTACTTTTACATGTTGGCTCACCTACAGGGTAGTGTTGTTACTCAGGAATAGATGAAGTAAATATACTGATATTGTGAGTTTATGAGTTATACTGAGTTTATATTAATAATATTATAATTATAATAATTGGTATAATAACTAATAATAAAAAATATACTAATAAAAAATAATTATTATAACTCAACTCAACGTTATTTATTAATAACTAGGAAATTAGCATTGTTTTAGAATTACTATTTAATTACATTACAACATGCAGAGCAGGGTGTCTGCAGGTTTAAGAACCACCGTGTTAAAAAAAAAAATCTGGTCTCATCTGTATCAAATGAACACTGAGGAGATGATCACACTCACCTGACAGAGTCAGTGTAACAGCATCACTGGTGTGTGAGTAGCGTGATTAGGCAAATTTAAAAATACAGTTGGCCCAACTTTCTCATGGTGATTTAGCTGACTGAACAACCTCTACTACGTTAATGTCATCTCGTAGCACATTCCAGTCATATTGAGGCAGATTCTACCCGTACTGAGGACCTAGATGTCATCAACGCTCCACCATAGAGACAGGAGGTTCGCACTTAGAGCAGCTTCTGGAAACTTCAGAAGGCTTAAAAACGTGTCTGGTAAGTAAATGCTTGGTTTATTTGATGTACCAACATTTTTTCAAATAGACATTTACTCAAACCTAATCCTATGATTTGTTAGTGTTGAACTCTGAATATGTTAAAATGAAAATGAGCATCATTTGCTAACAGTCATTTAGCTGCTGTGGTAGCTAGGCTAGCGAGTCACTTCTTTTCGATGAGTGCTTGCTCTCACAAAATAGCAGAAAGAGAAAAGTTTTTCTTATAAAAAAAACGCCATTTTCAGTTTGTAACAGTGTTGAATTTAGTTCATTTATTGAAGTTAATAGCTCTCCTGGAAGACCAGCTCAGTTCTAACTTATGCTAAGTTCGTTGAGTATTTGTTTCATCTGAAAAGGACCATTCAAAATAAAGTGTCACCCATATAGGTTTTCTTTTTCTTGTTTTTGATTTGCATATTTATTTTTTATACTGTCTACTTGGTGGATTATTCTCATCCATATGTTTTGTCTGGTGAGTGTTTATTACTAATTTTGCTTACTTTTTTTTCATTTTTGATTGCAGCCATGAAGAACCCACCTTCACAAGCAGCAGGTGACAAAGAAATTGACCAGAGACGTCAACATTTGTTAAGGGACGAGTATGTTTAGCACACTAGGGTGGTTTTCAGATGTTCATTCTCTTGCTGTCTCTCTCTCCCACACATACATATACACTTACTGGTCATTTTGATGGTATTTCTAATTTACAGATTGCAATCTATCTTTGCCCCCTTGGCAAAGTGGATTCTTCACCCTATTCCTCAGTGGTCAGGACCCCCACAGGACCACCACAGAGTAGGTATTATTTGGGTGGTGTATTGGACACAGCAGTGATGCTGGAGTTTTTAAAACATTGTGTCCACTCACTGTCCACTCTATTAGACACTCCAACCTCGTTGGTCCACCTTGTAAATGTAAAGTCAGAGACGATAGTTTATCTGCTGCTGCTGTGTCAGTCATCCTCTAGGCCTTCATCGGGGGTCACAGGACGCTGTTGGCTTTTTTTTGGTATTCTCACTCCAGCAGTGACGCTACCATGCCAGTGTCACCGCAGTGCTCAAAAAAATGAAATACAGCTACTACTACTACTACTAATAATAATAATAGTAATACCTGCTCTGTGGAGGTCCTGGATGGGGTCCTGATCATTGATGAACAAGGTGAAAGGGTTAACAAATTATGCAGAGAAATAGATCAACTACAATCTTCAATTGCAGAGCTACAAAGTGCACTTATACATTAAATGGACCTGATTAAATGGAAAAGGAGCATAAATACAAGGTAGCTGTACATATTTAAGTGGTCAGTGAGTGTATGCATATAGTCAAGTACAACAGTGTGCTGCACTCACCAATTTAGTTTGTAGTTTTTGGTAAACACCATTGCAACTGTTTCTTTACTTATATAATTGCTATTCCACTCACTTTGTCTAAACTGTAATTCTGTATATGTTGTTTAGACAATTAAAGCAATTGCTTTACGATGATTCTGGTGTAATCAATTCATGCCCACATACCAGTGAACACAGGTGAGCTTTAAGAATTGTTAAATTTACAAGACATGATACAGTACATAGTGGCTTAATGTGTGACATTATTTTCTTAGAACTGTGGCAGATATCTGATTGCTCAGCTGTGATCACCTGTGTTGTACTACCTCTTCTGTTTCTTTACACATTCACAGTTTTACTGCAGAGCTGTAAACCTACAGTTTAATGTTTAAAGGCACAGCTTAATATTCCTTAGTACTGATTTCCAATGAATATTTTTAATTAACTTCAGAAAGCTTTGCTCTGTGAGCAAGAATGTCATCACATAAACTAAGGTTTCTTTGTTTAATAAAGAAATAAAAGTTAATTCAACTCAAAGAGATTTGCGTAAGAATAGTTGTACTCCTTAGTGTGCAATGTTCTCATTTTAGCTCAACTAAATATTTACTTTAGTGTTGACAAAAATGTCAGTCAGGATAACTAATAATTTACAAAAGTTGAGTGAACAAGAAAAAATTGGGGTAAATTCTGTACCACGGTGTTTTTTTTTGTTTGTTTGTTTTTTTTTACAGTGTATACACTGACGTTACTGAAACAGCAGCACAACACACTGTTCAATGTAGCTGTAACTGAAACTTTGTCTATTTTATTCAAGGGGAGACAAAAACAAGGAGAAATTAAAATATCAGTAACAAGTTAAGTCTTAATCACGAATTTACAATGTAATTAGTATTAAAATGGTCAATAATCACTACTCTTTACACAAAGCAGTAATTAATCAGTAACAAGTAGATTAATTAACAGATCATTAACAGGACAACTCCAGAAACTACTTAGTTCTAATGTTACTTCTTTACATAAGTAAACACACTTATCAGTTCATTAGTGATAATAAGCAGCAGTTAGTACACAATTAATGAGTAAATAAGTAATGAATTAAAAACAAACCACACAATTAGTTAACAGAGGTGCTTAATCAGTAATTACTTATGTATGTAATAGGTAATGTCTAATGAACAGTTAACAGTAGCACTTTACAGATCAGTAATAAGTAGGTAAAGATATGGTACAATTATGATAAATAGTACTAACCTATTTTTTTTATTTATTACTAAATTATAAATTAGTACTTGTAGTGTAAGCAGTTGGTAATAAAATGGGAAATAATGTTAACAAACTGTTATAATCCATAAACAAAATGAAATAAAAAAATGTTCATTTTTATTTTTTAAAGAGAGAAAGTGAATGGCTCGTACAACATCATATGTGCTTAATGAACCCATCACCCCATTCTTTAAATGTTTATAGGTTTTTATAATATTCAGGGTTTTAAATAAAAAATGAAGTATTCCTGCTGAAAAGATGTGGTATTAGTGCTATAAAATATGATCTCACTTGTTTTTTTTTGTTTGTTTGTTTGTTTGTTTTTTTCCTGTTGCGTTTAAATGGTCAGGTGCAGTATGATATACAGACACAATTACAATCTGTAATTATAGCAAAAAAAATAGTGCTACTATAGTTACTGCATCTCAGATTGAGTGAGAACATCAGTTCTTCAGAATACTGTAGATAACTGTACTGAAATTATGATTAAATTACTGCATTATAATCACTGGTGGGTGTTCTATTGCTTTTACACAGTGGCCCGCTTTCAGACAAGTGTAGTTACTCATGAACAGATGAGGTAAAAATACTGAGAATCAGGGCTGAAAACACATCACATGTTCCTTTGGTGTCACCTGTTAACAAAATACTGTTACTCTGTTGCTCATTTTCTGAGCTACTAATCTAATAAGACACTTTCCACAAAAAAATAAAAAAAATAGCAAGCTTACCTTTCACTGTGAGGGTAACAGTATTGCTGGGTTGTGATGATGAGGGTCTGTTATCTCTCTCTCCTCTACACCAGTACTGATCCTGATCCTGATCTGCTGCTGATCTGATGCTGAAGGTGTTTGTCTGAGACTGATTGACTGCAGTTCTACTGCTGCCTTTATACCACTGATATCTCCAGTCACTGTGAGACTCTATCTTACACTTCAGAGTGACTGACTCTCCAGTGAACACAGGACTCCATGTGGGTTCTACAGTCAGTGTAGCGTTGGGTAAAGCTGTGGAAACAGATAAAAGGAAACAGCGTATTGTGTAAAATATTCCATCAGAGATTCATCATTTTATTTAAAAAATCTAAGCGTTCTTATCCAGAGAATTTATTTTTGGAGATTTTTTAAAGATTTTTTTTTGTCAGTTGAACAATAAAACTCTGACATTTCAGAAACCAATAACGTCAATATCAAATAATACAAATTTATGTTCATAAAAACAATAATGACTAACATCAGTTTTTTAAACAACATGATGTTGGTAATAGTAATCTATTTTAGCACAAGTATTCTTATGAGCTCGCTTTACAATGAGTGTAATAGAGTGATGATATTTGTCTGCCAGTTTCTTTCCTCTACAGCGATATTGATCTCCATTCATGTGATACTGAGATTAATGAACACTGAAGAGATGATCAAACTCACCTGATACAGTCAGTGTAACAGCATCACTGGTGTGTGAGTAGCGTGATGTTCTTCTCTCTGTTCCTCTACAGGTGTATTTTCCTCTGTGAGACTCTGTAACAGAGCTGATACTGTACTGCTGTTCATAACCGACAGGTCTGTATGGATCATCTTTAAACCAGCTGTGCTGCCAGTTAGAGACACCTTCTCCCTCTATGTCACATCTGAGAGTCACAGTCTCTCCTATAAACACCTGTTTATCAGGCTGTATGGACACCACAGCTTTTGGTCTCTCTGTGGAGAGAAAAAAAAATCGTCAGAAAAAATAATTCCAATTAAGTTTTTTTTCATGTCCATGGACAATATAAAGAATGATATTTTCAGACGTTAGCACACAGAACACACCTCCACTCTTTCCCTGTGAGTAGCACTACAATTCAGCATAATAATCAGATAAGCAAGGAACACAGCATTTTTAAAATGAACTTGTTAATTTATTACTAGTAATGTTACTTTCAAAACAAACACCTAAAGTGCATGAGAGTCTTTACATGTTCACTATTATTTACTTCTTACTTTATATCAGTAATCATTCACGAGTACCTTTTGTCTCTAAAATCTTTTTTGTAGAGATCTTCTGTGTATTTTTCCATCTATTTTGATTTTGATTTCATCTGTTATGATCCATCCACTGGCATCTCTTAGAGTATTGACTACTGCCTGAAATTTATTTTCAATTTTCCATATCTTCTAAAAATCAACCCTTGTTTTTCCATGTTTGTTCCTCTTTTTTCACACATCTTTACAGATGTTGTTGTAGTATTAGTCCATGTCTTTCCAGACAGGTCTCTGGACTTTACGGTTTAGCTTTCTTAAAAGATCTTTGCTCTTCTTGATTTTGGCATCTTTTCTCTTTTTTGCCATCTCCATTTTATCGTCAGCCATCCACGGTGAACTCCATGTGCTGGTGTCCAGGTGTACAGATGTCATTTTGGTTGCTTGAAAAATGTATTAGGAATGAAAAAGTCACTGTAATCACAGAAGCTCATTAGCTGTTCTCTTGCTTCATTACTGTTTCCAAGGCCATTTTGTCCGACTGCATTTTCCTCCTTCACTTTTCTGACCTTCGCATTCCAGTCTCCCACAAACAGTAGTAGGTCTTGTTTGCAGGTCTTGTCAATTTCAGCCTGAGTTTGATCACATAAATTTTCAATTTCTTCATCACTTGCGTCCATTACTGGGGCATAAACCTGGATTACTGTCATTTTGAATGGTTGTGCATGAAATCGGACTGACATCAGCCGATCATTCACAGCATTATATCCAGTAACAGTTTTGCTGATATCCTTGTTGACAGTGAAAGCCTCTCCATTTCTTCTTTCATGTGACCCAAGTAGTAGGTGGTATGTTTCCCTGGATTACAGTGTCCTAATCTGATCCATTTCAGCTCACTAATCTCTAGGATGTTGATGTGTAGATGATCCATTTCCATTTTCACTACTTCCAGCTTGCCATGATTCATACTTCACATGTTCCAAGTTCTGAGTTCGTTTTTTCAGCTTCAACCTTTCTTTTTTGCCCTTTACCTTCAGCAACTAGACTTCCTGAGGGCTTTGCTGTAGCCACATCTCACACACAAGCTGTACTCAGTGGAATCCTCAGCTCCTCCCCAGTAGTAAGGTGAGTGCCTTCCAACCTGAAGCTCACATTTTCTGACGCTATTCCAACAGTCATTCTGTCTATCTATGTCCATCATTCAGAATGAGCATTAATTAATAATGTATGTACCTTTTTCCACTTTTCTCGAGGGGACATAAAAACTAGTAGAGAAAAATTAAGATAGTGATAATTTGTCAAGTCTTAATTATGAGTTTTTAGTGTAATAAGTATTTTGACAGTCATTCTGTTGTGTCTACCTATGTGGTTTTCTTGCTAAGGAACAGAAGTGGTTTAACATTGCCTTCTTCTGCATGGCTGAATTGATATCTTTGCTGTCGTCCCCTCTGTGATCATCAACTGATGACATCATCCTATTTAGTTGCTGCTCAATAGAAGTGCTAGATTTAGTCTGGCACCTCTGCTAAGACCTTTCTCCCATGGAAGACCCTGAAAGGAGTTAAAACTCTGGGCAGCGTAGCTCTCGACTTCTCTGCCTCCTGGCATAGCTCAGCCTCCTGGCCTCAACAAGGCACGTACTATGAGAAGGGACTTGTTTTAGTGTAATAGAAATTCTACTTTTCTTGATTCCTTTTGGGTTTATTGTGTAGAATTATTTAGTTTACACATTAGTTAATAATGTGCACATATTTTTTCCACTTTACTTACAGGGTCACAAAAACAAATAGAGAGAAATTAACATATCAATAATTAATCAAGTCTTAACTGTGAGTTTATGGTGTAATTAGTAAAAATGATCACTTTACTGAGAGGGACACAAAGTCAAACAAATCAAAAGATTAATCAAAGATAATTAACAAGACCAAATCATACCTATTAGTGATTGTGATATTTCTTTATTTTATTAAACACAGTTATCAGTTTGTTAGCAGTGTAATAAGCTGCAGTTAGTACACAAATAATGAGTGAATAAGCTCTGAACTACTAAAACCTAAATGATCAGTTTACAGAGCACTCAATAATTCATTATTAGCTACTTCATCAGCAATTATTTAATAATTAATGCTTACAGAACGGTTCATAGAAGCCTTTTTCTTAGAGGACACAGTTTGTTAGAGTACACAGTTTACAGAGATCAGTAATAAATGAGTAATGATACGGTTACATTTCAGTCAAAAATTGTACTATGCTTAACATTACATGACAATTTTATATTTATTACTAGATATTAAGTTATTTATTACAGTGGTAACAAGTTGGTGGAAAAATGAAGAGATAGTTGTAAAAAGTTTTACTAAACTAAAAATTATGTGCTTTTTTATTTGCTATTAAATAATAAGTTAATTATTGTTAAAATGAATTGTTATTACTTAATTATTATTACAAGAAATTGTAGTGGTAATTAATTGGTAATAAAATGGAAAAATATGGTAAGAAAATCTAATTATCCACACAAACAATAATTCAATAACCATTACAATAAAAGTGAGTAATACTAAAAAAGTCCCTGTTGTAGCCTCTTTTCTATCTCTTTATAATTTGTTTATCTATTTATTTATTTATTTTGACATTTCCTGCAATAGCCACCAGCTCTTATAGTGTCGTATCTGGGTAATGAACATATCACCCCATTCTTTTAAATCTTTTATTCTTTCATAACATTAGGGTTTTACCACAAAAACAGTGAAGTAGTTCTGCTGAAATGATGTATTTATTGCTGTGAAAATAGTAATTAACTTGTTTTTTAACCTGTTATTTATTTAAATGGTCAAGTGCAGTGTGATGAACAGACACAGTTACAGTCTGTAACTACAGTGAAACTAAATGTGTTGAAGCTGAAAAATGCAAATTCATTTCTTTTAATATTGTTTCTCATTTACTGCATCTCACATCAGGTGAGAACATCAGTTCTTCAGAACAGTGTGAATAACTGCACTGATATTATGACTAAATCACTGCATTATAATCACTGGTGGTTGTTCTATTACTTTTACATAGTGGCCCACCTACAAAGTGTAGTTACTCATGAACAGATGAGGTAAAAATACTGAGAATCAGGAGTGAAAACACATGTTCCTTTTGTGTCGCCTATTAACAAAATACTGTTACTCTACTGTGAAGCTCAGATCTGGTAACAGACTCAGAAAGAGAAAAGACTCACACCACACCACACACTTCTTTATACAACATGGTTATCTTAACTGATCTTAACTCACCTTAACTTATTAATAACTAGAAAATCAGCATGTGATTTTTAGGTGAGTACAACATGGTAACATTACTTTATCATTTTAATTCTGACTGGTTATCACTACAATTATTAACTTAGATTTAATAATAACTAGAGAAATAGTATGTAAATTTTATGTTAGTACAATTTGCTGCCATAATATCATCACATGATCACCCAGTGATTCTGATCTGTAAATTGTGACTCCATTTACTAATAAATAAAGAATTAGTATTTAAAGTGGTTTCAGACATACATTATAGGCGTTCATTTAATGTGGAATCTTCATTGTGGGGAATTTTCATTTCCTGTTTTCTGTTCTACTCATCATAAAAGACACTTTCCTATAAATAAATTAATAAATAAAATAAAACTACAAATCTTACCTTTCACTGTAAGAGTACCAGTATTGCTGCGCTGTGATGATGAAGGTCTGTTATCTCTCTCTCCTCTACACCAGTACTGATCCTGATCCTGACCTGCTGCTGATGTGATGGTGAAGGTGTTCGTCCGAGACTGACTGACTGCAGTTCTACTGCTGCCTTTATACCACTGATATCTCCAGTTACTGTAAGTCTCTATCTCACACTTCAGAGTCACTGACTCTCCAGTGAACACAGGACTCCATTTGGGTTCTACAGTCAGTGTAGCTCTGGGTAAAGCTGTGGAAACAGATGAAAGGAGAGAAAATAGTTTAGAGTGTAAAATAGTCCATCAGAGATTTAACACTCCATTTTAAAGATTTACATATTCTAATTTAGATATTTTATTTTTGGATATTTATAAAGATTTTTCAAAATCACAGTTAAGGATAAAACATCTCTGACATCCCAGAAACCATTTAATTTCTAAAAATAAATGCTTAAAATGTATAATCTATGAACACAATATTGACTAATGCAATATTGACTATTGCAGTATCCAGAGAATTTAGACTCAGTTTCATTAATGCATATTCCCAGTCTGGGTCCTGGAGGCCCACTGCTCTGCACATTGTATGTTTTCCTGTTAAGCTGATTGCACGGATCAGTTGGAGCAGGCAAAACATGAAAATGTGCAGAGGAGGAGGTCTCCAAGAATAGGATTAAGAACCACTGTGTTAGCAAAAAATAAACAAACATCTGGTCTCATCTGTGTTACTGTGATACTGAGATTAATGACACTGAGGAGATGATCACACTCACCTGATACAGTCAGTCTAACAGCACCACTGGTGTGTGAGTAGCGTGATGTTCTTCTCTCTGTTCCTCTACAGGTGTATTTTCCTCTGTGAGACTCTGTAACAGAGCTGATACTGTACTGCTGTTCATAACTGACAGGTCTGTATGGATCATCTTTAAACCAGCTGTACTGCCAGTTAGAGACTCCTTCTCCCTCTATGTCACATCTGAGAGTCACAGTCGCTTCTATAAACACCTGTTTATCAGGCTGTATGGACACCACAGCTTTTGGTCTCTCTGTGGAGAGAAAAAAAAATCGTCAGAAAAAATAATTCCAATTAAGTTTTTTTTCATGTCCATGGACAATATAAAGAATGATATTTTCAGACGTTAGCACACAGAACACACCTCCACTCTTTCCCTGTGAGTAGCACTACAATTCAGCATAATAATCAGATAAGCAAGGAACACAGCATTTTTAAAATGAACTTGTTAATTTATTACTAGTAATGTTACTTTCAAAACAAACACCTAAAGTGCATGAGAGTCTTTACATGTTCACTTTCATTTACTTCTTACTTCTTACTTTATATCAGTAATTATTCACGAGTACCTTTTGTCTCTAAAATCTTTTTTGTAGAGATCTTCTGTGTATTTTTCCATCTATTTTGATTTTGATTTCATCTGTTATGATCCATCCACTGGCATCTCTTAGAGTATTGACTACTGCCTGAAATTTATTTTCAATTTTCCATATCTTCTAAAAATCAACCCTTGTTTTTCCATGTTTGTTCCTCTTTTTTCACACATCTTTACAGATGTTGTTGTAGTATTAGTCCATGTCTTTCCAGACAGGTCTCTGGACTTTACGGTTTAGCTTTCTTAAAAGATCTTTGCTCTTCTTGATTTTGGCATCTTTTCTCTTTTTTGCCATCTCCATTTTATCGTCAGCCATCCACGGTGAACTCCATGTGCTGGTGTCCAGGTGTACAGATGTCATTTTGGTTGCTTGAAAAATGTATTAGGAATGAAAAAGTCACTGTAATCACAGAAGCTCATTAGCTGTTCTCTTGCTTCATTACTGTTTCCAAGGCCATTTTGTCCGACTGCATTTTCCTCCTTCACTTTTCTGACCTTCGCATTCCAGTCTCCCACAAACAGTAGTAGGTCTTGTTTGCAGGTCTTGTCAATTTCAGCCTGAGTTTGATCACATAAATTTTCAATTTCTTCATCACTTGCGTCCATTACTGGGGCATAAACCTGGATTACTGTCATTTTGAATGGTTGTGCATGAAATCGGACTGACATCAGCCGATCATTCACAGCATTATATCCAGTAACAGTTTTGCTGATATCCTTGTTGACAGTGAAAGCCTCTCCATTTCTTCTTTCATGTGACCCAAGTAGTAGGTGGTATGTTTCCCTGGATTACAGTGTCCTAATCTGATCCATTTCAGCTCACTAATCTCTAGGATGTTGATGTGTAGATGATCCATTTCCATTTTCACTACTTCCAGCTTGCCATGATTCATACTTCACATGTTCCAAGTTCTGAGTTCGTTTTTTCAGCTTCAACCTTTCTTTTTTGCCCTTTACCTTCAGCAACTAGACTTCCTGAGGGCTTTGCTGTAGCCACATCTCACACACAAGCTGTACTCAGTGGAATCCTCAGCTCCTCCCCAGTAATAAGGTGAGTGCCTTCCAACCTGAAGCTCACATTTTCTGACGCTATTCCAACAGTCATTCTGTCTATCTATGTCCATCATTCAGAATGAGCATTAATTAATAATGTATGTACCTTTTTCCACTTTTCTCGAGGGGACATAAAAACTAGTAGAGAAAAATTAAGATAGTGATAATTTGTCAAGTCTTAATTATGAGTTTTTAGTGTAATAAGTATTTTGACAGTCATTCTGTTGTGTCTACCTGTGTGGTTTTCTTGCTAAGGAACAGAAGTGGTTTAACATTGCCTTCTTCTGCATGGCTGAATTGATATCTTTGCTGTCGTCCCCTCTGTGATCATCAACTGATGACATCATCCTATTTAGTTGCTGCTCAATAGAAGTGCTAGATTTAGTCTGGCACCTCTGCTAAGACCTTTCTCCCATGGAAGACCCTGAAAGGAGTTAAAACTCTGGGCAGCATAGCTCTCGGCTTCTCTGCCTCCTGGCATAGCTCAGCCTCCTGGCCTCAACAAGGCACGTACTATGAGAAGGGACTTGTTTTAGTGTAATAGAAATTCTACTTTTCTTGATTCCTTTTTGGTTTATTGTGTAGAATTATTTAGTTTACTCATTAGTTAATAATGTGCACATATTTTTTCCACTTTACTTACAGGGTCTCAAAAACAAATAGAGAGTTTATGGTGTAATTAGTAAAAATGATCACTTTACTGAGAGGGACACAAAGTCAAACAAATCAAAAGATTAATCAAAAGATAATTAACAAGTCTAAATCATAACTATTAGTTAGTTGTTATGATATTTCTTTATTTGAGTAAACGCAATTATCAGTTTCTTAGCAGTGTAATAAGCTGCAGTTAGTACACAAATAATGAGTGAATAAGCTCTGAACTACTAAAACCTAAATGATCAGTTTACAGAGCACTCAATAATTCATTATTAGCTACTTCATCAGGAATTATTTCCAAAAGTAATAATTAATGCTTATAGAACGGTTCATAGAAGCCCTTTTCTTAGAGTACACCGTTTCTTAGAGTACACAGTTTCTTAGAGTACACAGTACACAGAGATCAGTAATAAATGAGTAATGATACGGTTAAATTTCAGTAAAAAATTGTACTATGCTTAACATTACATGATAATTTTATATTTATTACTAGATGGTGATGAAAAGTTGGTGATGAAATGATAAGATAGTAGTAAAAAGTTTTACTAAACTAAAAATTATGTGCTAATTCTTATTTGCTATTAAATAATAAGTTAATTATTGTTAAAGTGGATTGTTATAACTTAATTATTATTACAAGAAATTGTAGTGGTAATTAATTGGTAATAAAATGGAAAAATATGGTAACAAAATCTAATTATCCACACAAACAATAATTTAATAACTATTACAATAAAAGTGAGTAATACTAAAAAAGACCTTGTTGTAGCCTCTTTTCTATCTCTTTATAATTTGTTTATCTATTTATTTATTTATTTTGACATTTCCTGCAATAGCCACCAGCTCTTATAGTGTCGTATCTGGGTAATGAACATATCACCCCATTCCTATAAATCTGTTATTCTTTCATAATATTAGGGTTTTACTGCAAAAACAGTGAAGTAGTTCTGCTGAAATGATGTATTTATTGCTGTGAAAATAGTAATTGACTTGTTTTTTAACCTGTTATTTATTTAAATGGTCAAGTGCAGTGTGATGAACAGACACAGTTACAGTCTGTAACTACAGTGAAACTAAATGTGTTGAAGCTGAAAAATGCAAATTCATTTCTTTTAATATTGTTTCTCATTTACTGCATCTCACATCAGGTGAGAACATCAGTTCTTCAGAATAGTGTGAATAACTGCACTGATATTATGACTAAATCACTGTATTATAATCACTGGTGGTTGTTCTATTACTTTTACATAGTGGCCCACCTACAAAGTGTAGTTACTCATGAACAGATGAGGTAAAAATACTGAGAATCAGGAGTGAAAATACATCACATGTTCCTTTTGTGTCGCCTATTAACAAAATACTGTTACTCTACTGTGAAGCTCAGATCTGGTAACAGACTCAGAAAGAAAAAAGACTCACACCACACCACACACTTCTTTATACAACACGGTTATCTTAACTGATCTTAACTCACCTTCATTTTATTTATTAATAACTGGAAAATTAGCATGTGATTTGTAGGTGAGTACAACATGGTACCATTACTTTATCATTTTAATTCTGACTGGTTATCACTACAATTATTAACTTAGATTTAATAATAACTAGAGAAATAGTATGTAAATTTTATGTTAGTACAATTTGCTGCCATAATATCATCACATGATTACCCAGTGATTCTGATCTGTAAATTGTGACTCCATTTACTAATAAATAAAGAATTAGTATTTAAAGTGGTTTCAGACATACATTATAGGCGTTCATTTAACGTGGAATCTTCATTGTGGGGAATTTTCATTTCCTGTTTTCTGTTCTACTCATCATAAAAGACACTTTCCTATAAACAAATGAATACATAAAATAAAACTACAAATCTTACCTTTCACTGTGAGAGTAACAGGATTGCTGCGCTGTGATGATGAGGGTCTGTTATCTCTCTCTCCTTTACACCAGTACTGATCCTGATCTGCTGCTGATCTGATGGTGAAGGTGTTTGTCTGAGACTGACTGGCTGCAGTTCGACTGCTGCCTTTATACCACTGATATCTCCAGTCACTGTAAGACTCTATCTCACACTTCAGAGTCACTGACTCTCCAGTGAACACAGGACTCCATGTGGGTTCTACAGTCAGTGTAGCTCTGGGTAAAGCTGTGGAAACAGATGAAAGGAGAGAAAATAGTTTAGAGTGTAAAATAGTCCATCAGAGATTTAACACTCCATTTCAAACATTTACATATTCTAATTTAGAGAATTTATTTTTGGAGATTTCTAAAGATTTTTCAAAATTACGGTTAAGAATAAAACATCTCTGACATCCCAGAAACCATTTAATTTCTAAAAATAAATGCTGAAAATGTATAATCTATGAACACAATATTGACTAATGCAATGTTGACTATTGCAGGATTCAGAGTATTTAGACTCAGTTTCATTAATGCATGTTCCCAGTCTGGGTCCTGGAGGCCCACTGCTCTGCACATTGTATGTCTTCCTGTTCAGCTGATTGCACGGATCAGTTGGAGCAGGCAAAACATGAAAATGTGCAGAGGAGGAGGTCTCCAAGAATAGGATAAGGAACCACTGTGTTAGCAAAAAAATAAACAAACATCTGGTCTCATCTGTGTTGCTGTGATACTGAGATTAATGACACTGAAGAGATGATCAAACTCACCTGATACAGTCAGTGTAACAGCATCACTGGTGTGTGAGTAGCGTGATGTTCCACTCTCTGTTCCTCTACAGGTGTATTTTCCACTGTGAGACTCTGTAACAGAGCTGATACTGTACTGCTGTTCATTACTGACAGGTCTGTATGAATCATCTTTAAACCAGCTGTGCTGCCAGTTAGAGACACCTTCTCCCTCTATGTCACATCTGAGAGTGACAGTCTCTCCTCTGAACACCTGTTTATCAGGCTGTATGGACACCACAGCTTTTGGTCTCTCTGTGGAGAGAAAAAAAAAAATCGTCAGAAAAAATAATTCCAATTAAGTTTTTTTTCATGTCCATGGACAATATAAAGAATGATATTTTCAGACGTTAGCACACAGAACACACCTCCACTCTTTCCCTGTGAGTAGCACTACAATTCAGCATAATAATCAGATAAGCAAGGAACACAGCATTTTTAAAATGAACTTGTTAATTTATTACTAGTAATGTTACTTTCAAAACAAACACCTAAAGTGCATGAGAGTCTTTACATGTTCACTATTATTTACCTCTTACTTTATATCAGTAATCATTCACTAGTACCTCTTGTCTCTAAAATCTTTTTTGTAGAGATCTTCTGTGTATTTTTCCATCTATTTTGATTTTGATTTCATCTGTTATGATTTGTCTATTGGCATCTCTTGGAGTGCTGACTGGAGACTGAAATTTATGTTTGATCTCTTGTATCTTTGGAATATCAACCCTTGTTTTTCCATGTTTGTTCCTCTTTTTTCACACATCTTTACAGATGTTGTTGTAGTATTAGTCCATGTCTTTCCAGACAGCTCTCTGGACTTTACGGTTTAGCTTTCTTAAAAGATCTTTGTTCTTCTTGATTTTGGCATCTTTTCTCTTTTTTGCCATCTCCATTTTATCGTCAGCCATCCACGGTGAACTCCATGTGCTGGTGTCCAGGTGTACAGATGTTATTTTGGTTGCTTGAAAACTGTATTAGGAATTAAAACTTCACTGTAATCACAGAAGCTCATTAGCCGTTCTCTTGCTTCATTACTGCTTCCAAAGCCATTTTGTCCGACTTTATTTTCCTCCTTCACTTTTCTGACCTTCGCATTCCAGTCTCCCACAAACAGTAGTAGGTCTTGTTTGCAGGTCTTGTCAATTTCAGCCTGAGCTTGATCACATAAATTTTCAATTTCTTCATCACTTGCGTCCATTACTGGGGCATAAACCTGGATTACTGTCAGTTTGAATGGTTGTGCATGAAATCGGACTGACATCAGCCGATCATTCACAGCATTATATCCAGTAACAGTACTGCTGATATCCTTGTTGACAGTGAAAGCCTCTCCATTTCTTCTTTCATGTGACCCAAGTAGTAGGTGGTATGTTTCCCTGGATTACAGTGTCCTAATCTGATCCATTTCAGCTCACTAATCTCTAGGATGTTGATGTGTAGATGATCCATTTCCATTTTCACTACTTCCAGCTTGCCATGATTCATACTTCACATATTCCAAGTTCTGAGTTCGTTTTTTCAGCTTCAACCTTTCTTTTTTGCCCTTTACCTTCAGCAACTAGACTTCCTGAGGGCTTTGCTGTAGCCACATCTCACACACAAGCTGTACTCAGTGGAATCCTCAGCTCCTCCCCAGTAATAAGGTGAGTGCCTTCCAACCTGAAGCTCACATTTTCGGACACTATTCCAACAGTCATTCTGTCTATCTATGTCCATCATTTAGAATGAGCATTAATTAATAATGTATGTACCTTTTTCCACTTTTCTCGAGGGGACATAAAAACTAGTAGAGAAAAATTAAGATAGTGATAATTTGTCAAGTCTTAATTATGAGTTTTTAGTGTAATAAGTATTTTGACAGTCATTCTGTTGTGTCTACCTGTGTGGTTTTCTTGCTAAGGAACAGAAGTGGTTTAACATTGCCTTCTTCTGCATGGCTGAATTGATATCTTTGCTGTCGTCCCCTCTGTGATCATCAACTGATGACATCATCCTATTTAGTTGCTGCTCAATAGAAGTGGTAGATTTAGTCTGGCACCTCTGCTAAGACCTTTCTCCCATGGAAGACCCTGAAAGGAGTTAAAACTCTGGGCAGCGTAGCTCTCGGCTTCTCTGCCTCCTGGCATAGCTCAGCCTCCTGGCCTCAACAAGGCACGTACTATGAGAAGGGACTTGTTTTAGTGTAATAGAAATTCTACTTTTCTTGATTCCTTTTTGGTTTATTGTGTAGAATTATTTAGTTTACTCATTAGTTAATAATGTGCACATATTTTTTCCACTTTACTTACAGGGTCTCAAAAACAAATAGAGAGAAATTAACATATTAATAATTAATCAAGTCTTAACTGTGAGTTTATGGTATAATTAGTAAAAATGATCACTTTACTGAGAGGGACACAAAGTCAAACAAATCAAAAGATTAATCAAAAGATTAATCAAAAGATAATTAACAACTCCAAATCATAACTATTAGTTAGTTGTTATGATATTTCTTTATTTGAGTAAACACAATTATCAGTTTCTTAGCAGTGTAATAAGCTGCAGTTAGTACACAAATAATGAGTGAATAAGCTCTGAACTACTAACAACTAAATGATCAGTTTACAGAGCACTCAATAATTCATTATTAGCTACTTCATCAGGAATTATTTCCAAAAGTAATAATTAATGCTTACAGAACGGTTCATAGAAGCCCTTTTCTTAGAGTACACAGTTTCTTAGAGTACACAGTACACAGAGATCAGTAATAAATGAGTAATGATACGGTTAAATTTCAGTAAAAAATTGTACTATGCTTAACATTACATGATAATTTTATATTTATTACTAGATGGTGATGAAAAGTTGGTGATGAAATGATAAGATAGTAGTAAAAAGTTTTACTAAACTAAAAATTATGTGCTAATTCTTATTTGCTATTAAATAATAAGTTAATTATTGTTAAAGTGGATTGTTATAACTTAATTATTATTACAAGAAATTGTAGTGGTAATTAATTGGTAATAAAATGGAAAAATATGGTAAGAAAATCTAATTATCCACACAAACAATAATTTAATAACTATTACAATAAAAGTGAGTAATACTAAAAGAAGTCCTTTTTGTAGCCTCTTTTCTATCATTTTATTCATTTGTTTATCTATTTATTTATTTATTTATTTGACATTTCCTGCAATAGCCACCAGCTCTTATAGCGTAATATCTGGGTAATGAACATATCACCCCATTCTTATAAATCTGTTATTCTTTCATAATATTAGGGTTTTACTGCAAAAACAGTGAAGTAGTTCTGCTGAAATGATGTATTTATTGCTGTGAAAATAGTAATTAACTTGTTTTTTAACCTGTTATTTATTTAAATGGTCAAGTGCAGTGTGATGAACAGACACAGTTACAGTCTGTAATTACAGTGAAACTAAATGTGTTGAAGCTGAAAAATGCAAATTCATTTCTTTTAATATTGTTTCTCATTTACTGCATCTCACATCAGGTGAGAACATCAGTTCTTCAGAATAGTGTGAATAACTGCACTGATATTATGACTAAATCACTGTATTATAATCACTGGTGGTTGTTCTATTACTTTTACATAGTGGCCCACCTACAAAGTGTAGTTACTCATGAACAGATGAGGTAAAAATACTGAGAATCAGGAGTGAAAATACATCACATGTTCCTTTTGTGTCGCCTGTTAACAAAATACTGTTACTCTACTGTGAAGCTCAGATCTGGTAACAGACTCAGAAAGAAAAAAGACTCACACCACACCACACACTTCTTTATACAACATGGTTATCTTAACTGATCTCAACTCACCTTCATTTTATTTATTAATAACTGGAAAATCAGCATGTGATTTTTAGGTGAGTACAACATGGTACCATTACTTTATCATTTTAATTCTGACTGGTTATCACTACAATTATTAACTTAGATTTAATAATAACTAGAGAAATAGTATGTAAATTTTATGTTAGTACAATTTGCTGCCATAATATCATCACATGATTACCCAGTGATTCTGATCTGTAAATTGTGACTCCATTTACCAATAAATAAAGAATTAGTATTTAAAGTGGTTTCAGACATACATTATAGGCGTTCATTTAATGTGGAATCTTCATTGTGGGGAATTTTCATTTCCTGTTTTCTGTTCTACTCATCATAAAAGACACTTTCCTATAAACAAATGAATACATAAAATAAAACTACAAATCTTACCTTTCACTGTGAGAGTAACAGGATTGCTGCGCTGTGATGATGAGGGTCTGTTATCTCTCTCTCCTCTACACCAGTACTGATCCTGATCTGCTGCTGATCTGATGGTGAAGGTGTTTTTCTGAGACTGACTGGCTGGAGTTCTACTGCTGCCTTTATACCACTGATATCTCCAGTTACTGTAAGACTCTATCTCACACTTCAGAGTGACTGACTCTCCAGTGAACACAGGACTCCATGTGGGTTCTACAGTCAGTGTAGCTCTGGGTAAAGCTGTGGAAACAGATGAAAGGAGAGAAAATAGTTTAGAGTGTAAAATAGTCCATCAGAGATTTAACACTCCATTTCAAACATTTACATATTCTAATTTAGAGAATTTATTTTTGGAGATTTCTAAAGAATTGTCAAAATTACAGTGTAATGCTGCACACGCACAGAAAGACCCTCGCGGATATTAAAAAGGAAGTGGTTTACTGAGAGAATAGCAGGATGGTCAGACAGTTTCAGGGCAAATCCAAAATCAGAATCCAAAAGCCTAGCAAAAAGTCAAAAAAACTGAAAATACAAAATACAAAAGCGACCAGAGCAAAAGGGCAAACACAAAAACGCAATATCCAAAAAACAGGCAAAGGGTCCAATACATAAGTCAGGAAAACAGTAGAAAAACGCTCAGCAGTCCAGTGAAGGGCAATACCTTGCAATGAGGAGAACAAACCAGAGTCCTTTTAAAGTCTGAGGCAAACAAACACAGGTGAGTTGCATTAATACTCGGGTGACTGAGAACGAGGAAGATGTGTGTGATTGGTGGAAGGAGTAACATCATCAGGATTGGAATCATGGGAAAAGGAGTCCTGGAGAGTATTAGGCAAGGGAGGAGGAGAACCCGGAAGCGTGACATACAGTTAAGGATAAAACATCTCTGACATCCCAGAAACCATTTAATTTCCAAATATAAATGCTGAAAATGTATAATCTATGAACACAATATTGACTAATGCAATGTTGACTATTGCAGGATTCAGAGTATTTAGAGTCAGTTTCATTCATGCCAGTCTGGCTCCTGGTGGCCCACTGCTCTGCACACTGTATGTTTTCCTGTTCACACTCTCTTCAACTCAGTAACGGGTGTTATTTTGTTGATTGGACGGATCAGTTGGAGCAGGCACAACATGAAAATGTGCAGACGAGGGTATCTCCAAGAACAGGATTAGGAACCACTGTGTTAGCAAAAAAATAAACAAACATCTGGTCTCATCTGTATTGCTGTTATACTGAGGTTAATGAACACTGAGGAGATGATCACACTCACCTGATACAGTCAGTGTAACAGCATCACTGGTGTGTGAGTAGCGTGATGTTCCACTCTCTGTTCCTCTACAGGTGTATTTTCCACTGTGAGACTCTGTAACAGAGCTGATTCTGTACTGCTGTTCTTTACTGACAGGAGTGGATGAACCATCTTTAAACCAGCTGTGCTGCCAGTTAGAGACTCCTCCTCCCTGTATGTCACATCTGAGAGTGACAGTCGCTCCTACAAACACCTGATCATCAGACTGTATGGACACCACAGCTTTTGGTCTCTCTGTGGAGAGAAAAAAATCCTCAGACGAAATAATGAACTAAAGGTTTTTTTTTCTTCATGTCTACACACAATATAAAAATGTTACTGTTAAATATTAGCACACAGAACACACCTCCACTCTTTCCCTGTAAGTAGCACTACAATTCAGCATAATAATAAGATAACAATGGAACACAGCATTTCTTTTTAAATGAACTCATTAATTTATTACTAGTAATGTTACTTTCAAAACAAACACCTAAAGTGCATGAGACCCAGTATACATATGTCATCAGGAGTCTTTACATGTTCACCATTATTTACTTCTTACTTTATGTCAGTAATCATTAACTACGAATTTATGTGTCTCTAATTTTTTTTTTGTAGAGATCGTCTGTTTATTTCTTCCGTTTGTTTTGTTTTTAATGTCATCTGTTATGATTTGTCTATTAGCATCTCTTGGAGTGCTGACTGGAGACTGAAATTTATGTTTGATCTCTTGTATCTTTGGAATATCAACCCTTGTTTTTCCATGTTTGTTCCTCTTTTTTCACACATCTTTACAGATGTTGTTGTAGTATTAGTCCATGTCTTTCCTGACAGCTCTCTGGACTTTATGGTTAAGCTCTCTTAAAAGATCTTTGTTCTTCTTGATTTTGGCATCTTTGCTCTATTTTGCCATCTCCACTGTATCATCAGCCATCCACGGTGAACTCCATGTGCTGATGTCCAGGTGAACAGATGTTATTTTGCTTGCTTGAAAACTGTATTAGGAATTAAAAAGTCACTGTAATCACAGAAGCTCATAAGTCGTTCTCTTGCTTCATTACTGCTTCCAAAGCCATTTTGTCTGAATGTATTTTCCTCCTTCACTTCTCTGACCTTCACATTCCAGTCTCCCACAAACAGTAGTAGGTCTTGTTTGCAGGTCTTGTCAATTTCAGCCTGAGCTTGATCTTATGACTTTTCAATTTCTTCATCACTTGCGTCCATTACTGGGGCAAAACTGGACTACTCTAATGTTGAATGGTTGTGCATGAAATTGGAGTGACATCAGTCCATCATTCACAGCAATATATCCAGTAACAGTTTTGCTGATATCCTTGTTGACAGTGAAAACCACTCCATTTCTTCTTTCATGTGACCCAAGTAGTAGGTGGTGTGTTCCCCTGAATAAGTGTTCTAATCTGATCCATTTTAGTTCTAATCTAATCCATTTTAGCTCATTAATCTCTAGGATGTTGGTTTAGATGATGCATTTCCATCCTTTCTACATCATCAGCTTCAGCAACTGGACTTCCTGAAGGCTTTGCTCTAGCTGTGTCTCACACACAAGCTGGTATAATTAGTAAAAATGATCACTTTACTGAGAGGGACACAAAGTCAAACAAATCAAAAGATGAATTAAAAGATAATTAACAAGACTAAATCATAACAACTAGTTAGTCATTATGATATTTCTTTATTTGAGTAAACACAATTATCAGTTTCTTAGCAGTGTAATAAGCTGCAGTTAGTACACAAATAATGAGTGAATAAGCTCTGAACTACTAACAACTAAATGATCAGTTTACAGAGCACTCAATAATTCATTATTAGCTACTTCATTAGCAGTTATTTCCAAAAGTAATAATTAAAGCTTACAGAACAGCTTATAGAAGCCCTTTTCTTAGAGTACACAGTACACAAAGATCAGTAATAAATGGGTATGATATGGTCAAAGTTTGGTAAAAAATTGTACTATGCTAAACATTACATAATAATTTTATATTTATTACTAGATATTAAGTGATTAATTATGGTGGTAACAAGTTGGTGATAAAATGATATAACAGTTGTAAAAAAAAATATTAAACTAAAAATAATATGTAATAAAATGGAAAAACATGGTAACAAAATCTAATTATCCACACAAACAATAATTTAGCAACTATTACAATAAAAGTGAGTAATACTAAAAGAAGTCCTTTTTGTAGCCTCTTTTCTATCATTTTATTCATTTGTTTATCTATTTATTTATTTATTTATTTATTTGACATTTCCTGCAATAGCCACCAGATCTTACAGCGTAATATCTGGGTAATGAACATATCACCCCATTCTTATAAATCTGTTATTCTTTCATAATATTAGGCTTTTTACTGCAAAAACAGTGAAGTAGTTCTGCTGAAATGATGTGGTTTTATTGCTGTGAAAATGATAATGTACTAGTTTTTTAACCTGTTATTTATTTAAATGGTCAAGTGCAGTGTGATGAACAGACAGAATTACAGTCTGTAATTACAGTGAAACTAAAGGTTTTATAGCTGTAAAATGTAAATTCATTTCTTTTAATATTGTTTCTCATTTACTGCATCTCACATCAGGTGAGAACATCAGTTCTTCAGAATAGTGTGAATAACTGCACTGATATTATGACTAAATCACTGTATTATAATCACTGGTGGTTGTTCTATTACTTTTACATAGTGGCCCACCTACAAAGTGTAGTTACTCATGAACAGATGAGGTAAAAATACTGAGAATCAGGACTGAAAACACATCACATGTTCCTTTTGTGTCACCTGTTAACAAAATACTGTTACTCTACTGCGAAGCTCAGATCTGGTAACAGACTCAGAAAGAAAAAAGACTCACACCACACCACACACAGCTTTATACAACACGGTTATCTTAACTGATCTCAACTCACCTTCATTTATTAATAAATAGAAAATTAGCATGTGATTTTTAGGTGAGTACAACATGGTACCATTATTTTGTCATTTTATCAATTCTGAATTGGTTACCGCTACAAATATTAACTTATATTTAATAATAACTAGAGAAATAGTATGTAATTTTTATGTAAGTACATTGTTGCAATAGCATTACCACAACATTACCCAGTCATTTCTGATCTGTAAATGGTGATCCCAATAACTAATAAAAAATTAGTGTTTAAAGATTTTCTAGCATAATATTATCAATTCATTTATGATCTTTAATGTAAACTGTTACAAATTGTTCTGTCACTGATTTCAGGTATACATTATATGTTTTCATTTAATGTGGAATTTTTATTTTAGGGAATTTTCATTTCCTGTCTTTCTGTCCTCGCGACCAAGAAGGATAAGCAGTCTGATGTTCGTGTGTGTGTGTGTGTGCGTGTGTTTCTGTGTGTGTTTGTGTGTGTTTCTGTGCAACTAATCATAAAGACACGTTCCTATGAATAAAGGAATAAATAAAATAAAATAAAACTACAAATCTTACCTTTCACTGTGACAGTAACAGTATTGCTCTGTTGTGATGACGTGGGTCTGTAATCACTCTCTCCTCTACACCAGTACTGATCCTGATCCTGATCTGCTGCTGATCTGATGGTGAAGGTGTTTGTCTGAGACTGACTGACTGCAGTTCTACTGCTACCTTTATACCACTGATATCTCCAGTCACTGTAAGACTCCATCTCACACTTCAGAGTGACTGACTCTCCAGTGAACACAGGACTCCATGTGGGTTCTACAGTCAGTGTAGCTCTGGGTAAAGCTGTGGAAACAGATGAAAGGAGAGAAAATAGTTTAGAGTGTAAAATAGTCCATCAGAGATTTAACACTCCATTTTAAAGATTTACATATTCTAATTTAGAGAATTTATTTTTGGAGATTTCTAAAGATTTTTCAAAATTATTTGTTCTGAGGAAATAAATCCTCAGAACAAATAATTCTCATTCTAATTCTAAGTCTATAAGCAATATAAACATGTTATTGTTAAATAGCAACACACAGAACACACCTCCACTCTTTCCCTGTGAACAGCACCATAATTAAAGATAAAAATAACAAGTGGGGAACAGAGCATTTGCTTAGGTAAACTTGTTCATTTATTACTAGTGATGTAACTTTCAAATCAAACACCTAAAGTGCATCAGACCCAGTACACTGCAGCTTTAGACTCCTACAGTGTCTGTCTGAGAACACTGCTTTCAGATGTACTGTAGATACTCTTTATAAAATCATCTTCAAATGTGTTCACAGACGATATTAAAACAGCAGCACAACACACTGTGTAGTTAAGCTGTAACTGAAATAAATCATCTGAGAATCAACAGAATAAACTTGAGGGTTTATCTTCAGTGCTTTTCCTTTTAATTAATCAACATGAAAGATTAATTACATTTGAACAAGTCAATATATACTTATTAAGCATTAGTTATTACTTATTAACCATGTACTCAGTAATTAGTAACTGACTGCACTGTTAACTGATCATTTTGTTTGTTCATAACTAACTAGTACTTCTGTGTTAGTTCTGTTAATTGTCTGTCAGTTAATCTACTGATTTAACATTGTGTTTTTCCTCCACTGGGCACTGTTGTGTGGAACACAGTCTTTGGGCTTTTCTGGTCACTTTCCTTCACCTCCACATATTCACATGCCTCACTGTACTCATGGGTGTCTATATATGTTCACCATTAACTACTACTAACTTCACATTACTAACCACTAATTACTACTTTATGTGTCTTTAAAAGTAAAGAGGCAATTTTGATAAGCATGAAATATTCACATATTTACAGTATTTGTACACTCTTTTCTTAATATCTTCCATTTGAAAGTGCCAAAGTGGTTCTTTTTAAAGGAATGCCATAGAAAACCCATTCTTGCATCCCTTAATCACCTGTGATTGAAAAAGATGTTCAATTATTATTATTATTATTATTATTATTATTATTGTCATCAAGTATTGATTCAGACTCCTGGTGACCATATTTATAGTGTTACTACAGAATATCCTGACTACTGTTTGGGTCCTCAGGTTTCTGAATGGCTGGTTCATGATTCCTCTGATTGTTGTCGATCATTCTCTTCCTCTTTCACCTTCAACTCTTCTAAGCATTATGGTCTTTTCCAATGAATCAGATCTACTCAGTGTTACGTGTAAGCACATATTTTGTTTTGTTGTTTGTTTCTCACGATCTTTCTCTGTCTCTTCCTCTACAGGTGTGCCAACTACCATCGGTCATGTAACCAAAATTTCTGAGCAATCAAAGGCCCAGCTGGTGTTATCAGGGGAGGAGCCTAAGCCTTTAAAGGAAGCATTAGAGATGGCTGAGAGGGCTTATACACATGTAAGCTATGTAAAGAATATAGTCTATTTGGTTTTGGTGAACTCCATGTGCTGATGTCCAGGTGAACAGATGTCATTTTGGTTGCTTGAAATCTGTATTAGGAATGAAAAAGTCACTGTAATCACAGAAGCTCATTAGCTGTTCTCTTGCTTCATTACTGCTTCCAAGGCCATTTTGTCCGACTGCATTTTCCTCCTTCACTTTTCTGACCTTCGCATTCCAGTCTCCCACAAACAGTAGTAGGTCTTGTTTGCAGGTCTTGTCAATTTCAGCCTGAGTTTGATCACATAAATTTTCAATTTCTTGCGTCCATTACTGGGGCATAAACCTGGATTACTGTCATTTTGAATGGTTGTGCAATAAATTGGAGTGATATCATCACACAATGAAAACAACTCCATTTCTTCTTTCATGTGACCCAAGTAGTAGGTGGTATGTTCCCCTGAATTACAGTGTTCTAATTTGATCCATTTTAGCTCATTAATATTTATTTATTTATTTGCCATGATTCATACTTCATACATTACAAGTTTGGTGGAGGAAGGATGATGCTATGGGGTTGTTTTTCAGAGGTAGGTCTCGGCCCCTTAGTTCCAGTGAAAGGAAATCTCAATGCTTCAGCAGACCAAGACATTTCAGACAACTCTATGCTTCCAACTTTGTGGGAACAGTTTGGGGAAGACCCTTTTCTGTTCCAGCATGACTGAGCCCCAGTGCACAAAGGAAGTCCATAAATGCATGGCTGGTTGAGTTTGGTGTAAGAACTTGACTGGCCCAAACAGAGCCCTGACCTCAACCCCATCAAACACCTTTGGGATGAAATAGAATGGATATTGCGAGCCAGGCCCTCTCACACACATGTGCAAGATGAGCTGTATACTGTGGGAAGAACAGTTCACACAAAGATTTCCTGACTCTCTCTTTAACGTGAATGTTTTTGGAATTCAGTAAAGACTACATCTGTACAAATCTTTCTTTGATTTCCCTCCTGTATGGTGCATATTTTTGACCTGCCCTGTGGATGAATGGAAGGAGAAAAGCCAGTATGCAACAGCCTGGAATGTGGCTTAGCTAATCAATCAAATTATGAGAGACTTTTGGCAGGCACACGTCTGTATATTACATCACTGTAATCAAATATTGATAATAGAGTGGTCTCAAAAATCCTTTTTCTAGTACGCACTGGGAAACACATTTTAGTTCGATACAGCTTCTGTCACTGTATTAACTAGCTTACTGACATGATATTTAAAGGTAAGTTCTGCATCCAACCATATGCCATGGTACTCGTATTCTGTGACCCTTTCAATTCTGGATCCCTTTAGGGTAGTAAACTTGAGTTAAAAAACAAATTAATATAAGTTAAAATCAAAATTAGATGTTCTGGAAAACAGCATGAATTTAATTCTCCTCACATTTAAAACTAGTCAATGCTCATAGAGAGCAGTTTGTAAGGCATCAAAAGAGCACTTTGGTTTTTTTCCACCACTGCTTGTACAGAATCAGTAGAACAGTATAAAGCTGTGTCATCATGTGTCATCTGCATGTAGGTGTACTTTACAGTCAGAGATGGAGGTGGGAATATCATTAATGTATATATTAAATAAGACAAGATTTAGGGGATGGGGTGAAAACTAAAAATTATTTTGACTGAAGATTTTGTTATTTGTATGCACATTTTCTTTTATTTGTGGCCACGATTCCTGAATTCATTCCCATGATTAACAAATCATTTTTTTCATTTTCTTTTAACTGTCGACGTATTTATTTATTTTTTTTTATTTTAGTTTTTTATTTTAATTTCATGCTTTCCTTTTTAATGTGCACACATTTTAAGTGTACTAGATACAGGCCATTTTATTTGTCCTCTGAAAAGTAGGCTAACAGCTCCCTAAAAGAGTCTGAGGAGTTTTAACGAGCTTACCTCTGTACATTATCACCTTAATCTAAGTTCATTAAAGCTCATGCTCATTAGGTCTGATTCTGATTGGGGGTGTTATGAGGACACTGTAGCTCCTTTTCACGGTGAAGCATCAGAATCATGATGTCTTCATCTGTGTTAAATATATTCATTAGAAAGTGCAGTTGAGTGAAGGCTGTGGTTGTAGTTTATTGTCTTCATTTCAACGCAAAACTGCAACTGCTCTGATGCAGCCATTTGCTGATTCTAAAACCTTGTTGTGAAGAGGATCTACAGTGTCCTCATAACAGCTCACATCAGAATCAGACTTAATGAGCATCTCTATATGTTATCACATAAATCTAAACAAATCAAAACCCGTCAGGCAGTTTCAGGGAGCTGTTATCCTGCTTGTGCATAGGACAAATAAAATGACACCATGAATTTCTACACATCAGGGTACCTGGGCTACAAGTCTCTCCTCCTCATGCAGCTTCTGTTAAAATATTTCTCAATACTCAACAGTAAATTTGAGATTAATCAGTAGTGTAATTCTGTCGAATTAAGAGAAAACACATTCTAGCCAGGACTACAGCAGTGGCAGTAACTTTATGCAAGTGCTGCTCTTATTGCTCACTTCCCCTCTGCCTCCTTAATTATCTGTCATTCTCTCTCTCCCACTCTCCAGCTCCCTTGATCCGAGTTGTGTTCATGTAGCAGTCAAATTTAAAGTATACTGTAAACGGATCAAAATATTCTTTGGCAGGTGTCCATATACCTGGGCAAATGCCAAAGTATTACTTATGTGTGGAAAACACTGCATTTTTATTATTTTAATATTTTAATGCAATAAGTTATTATTGCTTGTGATATTAATATATGTGCAATAACTATTTTTTAAAGTCTGTATAGATTCTACTACAGGAAATATGTAAAATTATAAAGATATATTTTGGCATTCATGTGAAATTTGGTCAGTCTGCAGTGAAGCTGCTGATGCCTTTATCTGTCTGCATTGCTTAAACCAGTATATAAACACATACTGAAACTGATCTTCTCAAGTTTTCTTGAAACCCACAACACAGATGATACAGTTATAGCAGAGGTAGACAGATCAGCTACAAGTACGTTATTGTCACTTGCTATGCAACTGCTTATTTTACTCTGACTATGAATCATATAGTGACCTTATCTGACCATACATAAAAGAATAAAATTTACATAACAAAATTCTCATCTTAAAATTGTATCTGGCCTTTCTTGATGCTGAAAAACCCACATGTGAACATACTGTAGATAATTTTTGGTCCTGGTTAAGAGTGATTACCCTGTTTAAAAGTTGTTCAAACAGGACTATTTAGCTTTAGCTCATGTGGTCAGTGTCTATGGAATGATGCATTGATGCCATTAGGGCTTGTAAGTGTGTTTTTAAAAGACGTTTAAAGATCTATCTTCATTGCTTCCTATGTGCATGCATAGTATAAACATTTTGCAGCAGAACATTAAAATGCACTTCAGTATTTCAAAGTACAAATAACAGAAACAATCTGTGACCGTGATGTTACTTAATTGGTACCAACTGGTACAGTCAGTGTAACAGCATCACTGGTCTATGAGTAATGTCAGTCCGATGACTGTGTTCCTTTACAGGTATAAACTTCCATATGTAAGACCAATTAGCATCAGATTTTGTATTTATTTGCCCCTGCATCACTGTGAAGTTTATTAGCCTTAAACCACTAATATTCCCAGCCATCTCCACTTTCTATATTACATGTGACAGTGACTGTCTCTCTGATGAACACAGGATCAGCTGGTTGTATTTTCACTGTAGCTTTAGGTCTCACTGTACAAACATGACAAATATTTTAGAAACTTTTGAGACTTTAACATTCTGTCAAAAGGTACATGTGAGTTTTGAAAATCATGGAATAATGTGAAATTTTGAATATTTATGGTAAGTGCCCCCATGTCATTCTAAAGTCAAATTTGTAGCAAAAAGAAAACAAAAAACAAGACATACCTTTAGCTGTAATCCTGACTGGATTACTGAGCTGTGTGTAATAGACTTCTCTGCGTGCTGCACATTTAAACTCTGCTGTTCCTTCATCAGACACTGTTACATTGACTGCGTTGGTGTCTTTATCTGCAGTATTCAGAGGCTGTAATTGCTGAGAGCCATTATACCAAAGAAACTTCCATCCAGTAGACTGCTTTACCTCACAGGTCAGAGTAACTGTGTCTCCAGTGTAGACAGAGCTCTGAGGATCCACACTCACAGTCAGATTGGGTTTTTCTGTTGATATGATATGATGAAGCTATGAGAGCTACTTCTTATAACACAAGCAGTAATTCAGTCATCCAATGTACTGTATTTTAGTAATAAATCTTTCTAATTTGTTTTTCTCCCTGTAAAGCACAGTTAAAATGTGCATTATGAGTTTATTATTCTTACTATCTTATATGTTTGAATATATATATATTTCTACTGTTCTATTCATCATGAAATTTTACACGATGTAAAGAAAGGCTGCTGTGCTCTGACGCTCCACCATCACTGCTGGTTTGGGATTTACTTCTGAGCTGCTTCCTCTTAACAGAGTCAAATGACTCATTTCAAGTTTCTAAATCACAAGTTTAGAAACTTTTCTTGGCTTTCTACAAAGAAATAAAGGCTATATGTACATACAGTACTGTCACTCACTATGCAATTCTATTTTGTCCTCTGATTACAAATCATGGAAAGACTCATTAGGTAATAATCATACATCCCATCCCCCCATATGCGAAAGACTTTTCATATTAAAAATACAGAGTAATTCAAAAAGTTTCATCCGATTTCAATGCACCATATTTTTGCAACCGTGAGGTGCCTAGGAACCAATCACATACCAATCGAAAGAGGGGGTCATAGAGTTTCTGACAGTCACCGGAAGATGGCTCCCTTCAGTCTGCGAGGAGATGGTGACCCCTGAGCAGAAAGTGTTTTACGTTCTTCACTTCAAAAAGTGTGAATCCGTAGGCAGTGAACCTCCAACAGCTCAGAGCATTCGTCACTGGTTCCACAACACTGGATGATCTCCAAAATCGCATTGAAAGAGCCGTGAGTGCAGTGACCCCCGACATGCTCAATCGAGTATTGGATGACTTTGACTATCACATTGATGCTGTCTGTACAGCTGGATAAGGTCATATTGAGCACTTGTAAAATTATATGCTCACTTAAATTTACAATTTACTGCATTGTTCTGTAATGATTTACAAGTAAAATAAATCATTTTGAGATCGGATGAATCTTTTTGAATCACTCTTTATATCCATCCTTTTCTGATGCTGAAAAAACCTACAGGTGAACATATTATAGATAATTTGTCATACTGGTTAAGAGTGATAATTCAGTTTAAGATTTGTTTAAAAAGCTTTACACTTTCATTTCTGCTTTTAGATCATTTTCTCAGTGTTTATGGAATGATGCTTTTATGCATCAGAGCTGCATTGGCATGCAGAAGATGATCATTTTTGAACAATGAGACATTGAAATGGACTCGTTACACATTAAATCAAGGCATATCTTACCAAACTAAAGGTTGTAGTAGGATTGTGAAAAGTGTAAAAAATGTCAAAGTAAATCTTACAGCAATTTCCCCACCAGCAATTTCCCAGCAGTGATTTACTGTTCATTTACAGCACCCATACTATATTATACAAGTACAATATTTTACTGTATTCATAAGTACTGAATTTCTAATGTACAGATCATATGTGCTCAAATGTGAACCCTCAGCTGCCTGAGGACCCTCAGTCTTACCATATTATGTAGCAGAGCATGTTACGATATATGCAAACAATCTACCTGGCAAGCTTTTAAAATAAAATCCTTGAACACTCATGTATGGTTAGGAGAATGATCATGATGATCATAATAACATGTTAACAAAAATCTCAAGTGAAATGAATTGTAGAAGTAAAAAGTATATAAAAAAAATGAATAATAACTAACAAAGCCACAAGGTTATACTGAGCAGTTCTAGCCCCTGTAACCACAATATTCAAAGACAAGCTTAAAACCAGACTTTGTCCACAGGTTAATTACTACCCTTTAATATGCTTTACAAATAAGGGATAATTACTGTAATATCCAACATTTTAACTTTTTTGACCAGAAACTGGACCTGCTCCTCCCAGAATGCACCATTTTTACAGCAAATTGTTATACTTAAGGAATTGGATTACTGTATACCTTTAGCTGTAAATTTGCATCAGTTCTTTACAATGTAGCCCCAGTGTTGGGTAATTATTTAAAAAAATAATCCATTCAAGTTACTAATTATTTCTCTCTAAATGTAATGGCAATACATTACTTTTACCTCCTACTCTGAAAAAAACATGTTAAATTTACATGATTCAAATGAGTACATTATTTCAACACAAATGAAATGTTCCATCAACTTAAAGTGAGTTAATTAAGTACTTACAAACAATCATTATACTGGTATAACATAATTCCATTCACGTAGAGCTAACACACACATTTGAATCAAGTAAATTTAAAGCAATCTTATTAAATCAACCTCTTTTCAGTGTAGAAAAAGGAAAGCTATCGCACATTATTTTACGTCTGTATTATTCTCTACCAAACTCTCTCACTATGTCGGCAGACAAGTTGCTTGTTTTATATTCACTCAAATGTCCCTCGCCCAGATTAAATGTCATTGTATTAGGATCACGTGTCAACTCTACTTTTTACACTAGATGTGAGAGTGACTGTCTCTCTAATGAACAAATGATCAGCTGGTTGTACTTTCACAGTTTTGGTCTCACTGTACAAAAATGAGAAATAATGTAAAAGCTTTTAGGACTTAAATATTTTGTCAAAAGATGCACACAAGCCCCTTGCCGGTAATAATGAGAAAACAGAAAACAGGACGTACCTTTAATTGTAATCTTGGCTGGATCACTGAGCTGTGTGCTGTAGTCTCCTCTGAGTGCTGCACATTTAGTCTTTGCTGTTCCTTCATCAGACACTGTTACACTGATTGTGTTGGTGTCTTTATCTGCAGTACTCTGAGGCGGTAATTGCTGAGAGTCTTTATACCAGAGAAACTCCCATCCAGTACACTGTTCCACCTCACAGGTCAGAGTAACTGTGTCTTCAGTGTGGACAGAGATCTGGTGATCCTCCCTCTTAGTCTGTTCATGTTCTTCTGTTGAAATTAAATAATGAAACTATCAGAGCTTCTTCTCAATTAACAACACAGTCAGGTCCAAAAGTATTTGGACAGTGAGTCATTTTTTTGTGATTTTGCCTCTCTACACCACCACAATGGATTTGAAATTGAGCAGTCAAGATATGATTAAAGTGTAGACTTTTAAGAATACTGCATTAACTGTTTAGGAATTACAGCCAATTTTACATAGTCCCTCCATTTCTACAGGCTCAAAAGTGTAACGGTGGAGGCAAGGAGGCGGGATGCAAATGTGAGTTGCTTTATTGAAATTAGAGCCCAGAGTAGCAGAGGTTTGAAAAACGGAGTCTATGACAAAAACAAAACTACAAGAAGAAAGCAAACAAGAGACAAGGAAACATCCACAAGTACATCCACAATGCAAGACAGAAACTGAACAAACACAGGAGTATAAATACACTGAGGGGAAACGAGAAACACCTGTTACTGAAGGGCAGAGCATAGACAGGTGGAACAGATAACAAGGGGCAGGACCAGGGAGGAGATACAGAACAACAACAAAAGCACATGGTAAAAGAAAACAAAAGGCACATGGCTACCATAGAGGGGAAGAAAGACACACTGAGAGGGACAAAGGGAGAATCCGTGACAAAAGTAATTGGGCAGTTTACTGAAAAGTAGTTTCATGGCCAGGTGTGACCTGGTCCCTCATGATTTTATGACAAATTATGGAGATAAAAGGTCTGGAGTAGATTCCATTTGTTCAATATGCATTTGGTAGCTGTTCATGGGAAGCTCTCAATATGCAGTCCAAACGGGTGTTGATGTAAGTGAAGGGGGCTGTCATTAGGCTGAAGAAAACAAAACAAACCTGTCAGAGGGACAGCAGAAACTGTAGGAGTGGAGAGGGATAGGCACATGATCTGAAGCGCACCACATCATTTGTCAAACATGGTGGTGTTACAGCATGTGCATGTACAGCTGCCAGTGGAACTGCATCACTGGTGTTCACTGATGATGAATTCTGAAGTGTATAGAACTTTACTTTCTGCTCAGATTTAGTTAAATGCTGCAAAAACTGAGAGGACGACACCTCAGAGTACAGATGGATAATGACCCAAAACATACAGTGAAAGCAACCCAAGAGCTTCTTAAGGCAAAGAAATGGAATGTTCTTAAATGGCCGAGTCTCACCTGACTTCAACCCAACTGAGCATGATTTTCACTTAATAAAGACAAAACTAAAGGCAGGAAAAAGCCACAGACAAGCAGCAACTGAAGGCAGCTGCAGTAAAGGCCTGGCAAAATATTCTGTTGCTCATTTTAGCTCATTTTAGCACCTCCACAGGGTAATTTTTGGGCACTGCAGCCATTCAATTTGTATGAGACTTCCTCTATTTTATTTGCAGTCATAGTTCAGGCAAGATGAGTTGTGCACGGACAACCACATTCTCCCTTTTATGTGTGAGCCTAGGAACATATATGCCTGTAACTTTATGAAATATTAAAACTTAAACTGTGTTAATAGTATCTTTCTGGCTAATAACTGGTTGTGCCACCCTTGGCAGTAAAAAAAACTGCAATCAAGTGTTTGCAATTTGTCTTTTAAATTGCTGTGGAGGTGTTTTGGCCACTCTTCTTTGCAGAATTGGAGGGTTTTCAAGCCTGAAATGTCAGTTAACATCTTGCCACATTATTATATATCTAAAGGGAGTCAAGTCAGGACTTTTGTTTATTTTGTGTGCTTTGATTCATTAACCTGCTTCCCAAATCGACTGTGCTTGAGCTTTAGGTCACAAAATGACAGGTGATCATTCTCTGATGAAAGTTATGGTTCCATCAATTATGACAAGGCTTTCAGGTCCTGCAGCAGCAAAGCAGCCCCAGACCATCACACTACCACCACCATGTTTGACTGTTAGTATGATTTTTTCATATGACTTCCACTGTGCAAAGTACAGTCTTAACTTGAATTTGTGAATACAGCGATAAGCAGTGTTTATTGACAATAGTTTCTCAACGTATTTTTGAGCCCATGCTGTGATATCCATCACAGAAACATGCTGGTTATGCACTGAAGAGGGTGAAACACCTAAAATTCTTGCAATTGCTCATTGAAAAACATTGTTTACAAACTGCTGCATTCTGAGTGAGCCTTGACCCATCCTTGCTCTTAAAGGTCTAGGCCTTTCCTGGACATTTTTCTTCATACCCAAGCATGATTGCATCACTAAAGATGTTTTTTGAACATTTCACAACATTCATAGTCTTAAATTGCCCCTCTACCAACTTTTTTTTTTAATCTAAATGAGCATATATTTCCAAAAACAATGAAGTTAAGTGGATAACCGTAGGTATAACTAACCTGTCTTTGTACTGTTCTTGTTTAAATATTGGTCAGTAGATTTACAAATCACTGCTTTCTGTTTTCTGGGTTTTTTTTGCATTTTACCTACAGTCCCAAACATTTTTGGGATTGGGTTTTAATATGTATAGCCCCTTTTTAGGTTGTTAATTTGTAGATAGTTAATATTGAGCTATTGTTTTTTTTTTGTTTCTTTGTGTATTCGGTTGCCTCTGTTGAGTATATATGAGTTCTGTTTATTGTAAAGATAAAGATAAACAAACTCACCTGACCCAGGTGTACCACTATCCCTGTGGACATCCTTAGTTTGTCCACAGTGGATGAGTAGAATCAGCACTACAGTAGGGAAAGAAACAGAGGGTATGATATCAGCTGGTATCACAGGTAGAATTAATGAACGTGAAAAAGCCCTTTGCAGCTGAATTTGTGGAATCAGTTCAAGTCAGAGAGAACAGTGGTTTTCAACTCCAGTGAAGTATTATTTCTTAAAAGAAGCTAAATTATCTGCCAGTGTAGTGAGATAATTTCACTCTAAGAAAATGTTTAAGTAAAAGTACTAAATAAATTATATAATCTTATTCTTACAACAATCTCAAAATTACCAACTAGTAATTAGGCCTAAATTGTTTCACAAGAACAATGGCCCTTACTCATTAAAGCTGCATACAAAATACCACAGATTTCACCACCTTTAATGACATTCAAACTACTCTGCATCTAATAAAACATGGAAACAAGCAGAGGTTTGATCCAGAAGTCGAATCAGGTGGCTCACGAGTCAATGGCTGTGCTCATAGGTGGAGTCAAGACAATGAGTGCACTGCTCCCCCAACTGACCAAACTTTATAGTGTTAAAATTTGGACAATGTATTTGTTTTGTGGCTGTGATTGTGTTGTGTGATTACTTTCTGAAAATAACATATTTGAATGCCATGTGCCCAAACTATTGTTGTTATTGCTTTTTAAAATGTTTTTATTCTTGTTATTAGTATTATACATATTCTTAATAGTTTTGGTTAGTTAAGTGCAAATCAAGCTTTTTTTTAGGTTAATAAACTATTACTTTTAACTGTAAAGACACTCCTACCAGACAGAAATACAGAAACACCAAAGTTCACCAACCTGATAAAGAACAAAACCATCGGTCAAATTTGTGTGCACTCCTATTATGATCAGATTTGACCATACACAACTTATCCCTGATGAATTAAGGCCATTATTCATGAATAATTAGAGTCAACGGAAGATTTGTTAGACGCGGAGAAATTATAATAAGAAATATAAATACTTTACTGCCTGCAATACTTTGAATTACTCTGTTTGCTGCTGGAGTTTTGATTCACTCTTCTACAACGATTTTTTTTTTCCTGGTTGATCACACATCGGCAAACACATCGGCAAATTTTAATGCACAATTTCTAGATATTTGCTGAATTTAACATATGGGGCATTAAATAAAACCTAAAAAATGTTACCTGAGCAAAAGTTATGTTGCATTTCATAGTTTATTTCTTCCAATATGTTAAAGTAGAAACTGCACTAAAATTTGCAGAAAACTTCAAGTGTATTGTCTGTAGAGGATGAGTTAAATCAATTTCACTTAGAAATCTAATTAAAAAGTGTAAGATACCGAAAACTTAATAAATGACTAATAATTTATACATACATATAAACATATATATGACAAATAACGTAGAAAACGTTTAAGACTTAAATCTTTTGTCAAAAGATGCATGTTACCCCCTTGTCCCCAACCCCCCTTCTAAGGTCAAATCGGTAATAATAAGAAATTAGAAAACACAGACGTACCTTTAACTGTAGTCTTGGTTGCATCACTGGTCTGTGTGCTGTAGTCTCCTCTGCGTGCTGCACATTTAAACTCTGCTGTTCCTTCATCAGACACTATTATACTGATTGTGTTGGAGTCTTTAACTGCAGGATTTTTGTACCAGAGAAACTCCCATCCTGTAGACTCCACCTCACAGATCAGAGTAACTGTGTCTCCAGTGTAGACAGAGCTGTTTTGTTCTGTTGATATGACATAATAAATGTTCTTAAATGGCCGAGTTTCACCTGACCTCAGTGCAACTAAGTATGCTTTTTTCTTACTTTGTTTTTGTTTTTTGTTTTTTTGTTTTTTTTTTACTTACTGAAGACAAAACTAAAGGCAGAAAGACCTACAACCAAGCAGCAACTGAAGGCGGCTGCAGTAAAGGCCTGGCAAAGCATCTCAAGGGAGGAAACTCAGCATTTGGTGATGTCCATGGTTTCCAGCCATCAGGCAGTCATTTACTTAAAAGCATTTACTGCCTAGTGTTAAAAATAATCCTTGTATTTACAACAGTTAGTTTGTCCAATTACTTTTGAGCCTGTAAAAAATGGAGGCATTATTTGCTGATGCATCTTTTGCAAAGTGGTGAGCCTTGACCCATCATGCCCCTAAAGGTCTAGGCCTCTCCTGGATATTCTTCTTCATACCCAAGCATGATTACATCACTTAGGAGTTTTTTTGAACATTTCACAACATTCCCCATCTTAAATTGCTCCTGTCCATGGACATGTTGCAGGCCTCAGTTTCAGAGTGTATATTTACAATAGAAAAATGAAGTTGAGGTAAAACTAATTATCTTGTCTTTGACTGTTTTGGAATTATGTTTGTATACATCGTCCCTGTCTTTTGTGTATTCAGTTACCTCTGTTCACAAGTAAGGATACACTTGCTTTACAATTGTCTGCCAGTGCTCGTGGACTTGCTCTAATGAACAGAAGATACAGTTGCCATCTTTACATTACTAACATGGGCTAGAAAACAAGATCATATCAGATCAGTTTTAGTATCACTCCACTGGCTGCCTGATTCCTTTAGAATAGACAAGAATAGACTAGAATAATTTTCCTACTAGTTTTTAAATCTCTTAATGGTTTAGCATCTTCATACATTTCTGAGAGCTGATCTTCAAGTGCAAGCCTTCTCCATATCTGATACTTGAAACTTAAAACGAGCAGAGAGACAGCATTCTGTTTTTATGCACCACAGATCTGGAACACATTAAAAATAAACATCCATCAGGCTCCTTCTGGAAGTGTTTTTAAAAAAACAGTTAAAAACACATTTCTTTAGTTTAGCGTTTAATTGTCATTGTTTTCATTGTTTTTTTTACTGGAATATTACTTTCTTGTTAGTTGTATTCTTATTATATATTTTTTTATACTTTTATCTTGTGCATTTTAGTTATTGTTTCTGCTATTGCTTTTATTTTATTGCACTTTTATCATTTATTTGTTTTCTACCTCTGTTGTTTTTAGTTTGTATTGTGAAGCACTTTGAGCTGCATTTTAAATGTATGTAAGGTGCTATTTAAATAAAGATTATTTTTATTATTATTTTTATTATTATTATTATTAGTAGTAGTAGTAGTAGTAGTAGTATGGCATGAATTCTTTCTCTAAGAATAATCCAAGGACTCACTTCTGTTGAATGTAAAGATAAAGATAAACAAACTCACCTGACCCAGGTGTATCACTATCACTGGTTTCTGTGCCTTCTGATACATCCTGAGTTTGTCCACAGTGGATGAAGACAATCTGCACTACAGTAAGGACAGAAACAGAGGATATGATATCAGCTGGTATCACAGGTAGAATTAATGAGCCCGAAAAAGCCCTTTGCAGCTGAATTTGTAGAATCAGTTCATGTCAGATAGAACTGTGGTTTTCAACTCCATCCAGGTGACTCACAGTTCCAACTATGTTCTGCCCCAACACACCTGACCCAGCTCTTCAGGTAATTATCAAGCCCTTGGGAGCTAGATCAGGTGTACTAGGAGCAGAAAAACAATACAATGGTGGGAAACACTGAGACTAAGAGTTGAGAAAAACAGAACCATGCTTGAGGACATTGTTCTTGACCAGGAAAGAATAAAAATGTCATAGAAATTCTGTTTTATTCAATTAATTTTTAAAAACATGAACAGCTACGCACTGTTCTGTTAAATAATGCTTAATTTCTCAACATCCACATTTCCATTGCAGCATGTTTCTTGACTGGTTCTGAACTTGTTATTGTCAGCGTGTGCACATTAGTTAGTTGATACTTGTGAAGATATAATTAGGGTTGATGGTACACACAAATTTAACAAATGTTAAATAATGAGTGTTAATTAAAGACATTATACACAAAATAATTACAAAGTTTCATATAACTGGTGTATCACAGTCCTGTTTGACATGTGAATTGTGTTAAACTCCACCGTCAACCTCAGTGACTGGACAAAGGAATAATATTTATATATTTATCTCACAGACTGTCAGGAGTCCTGACTTTCCAATACTTTCCAATGGAAGACTATTGTTGTCCGTATTGAATACATCATTCAAACATTCCCAGTGTAGGTTGGAAATTGTATGTGAACCCTTAGATTAATGAGTTCAACAAAATCTAATTGGAATCAGAAGTTAGCAAACCTGGAGCCCAATCAATTAAATCAGATTGAAGGTGTGGGTTAGAGCTACTTCAGCTTATAAAAAACCCTCAAACATTCTGGGTTTTCTGTTCACTAGAAGCATCTGCTGATGTGAACTACGCCTCACAAAAAAGGAGATCTTAGATGACGTATGATTAATAACTGTTGATCTGCCTAAAGCTACAAAGCATTGCAAAGAGTTTAGGTATTCATCAGTCTACAGTTAGACAAATTATCTATAAATAATGACGATTCAGCACTGTGTCTACTCTGCCTAGAACTGGAACTGGGCGCCCTGCCAAAATCGCTCCAAAGGCACAACACAGAATGCTCAGTGAAGTAAAAACCATTTAAGGTGGAACAGTAAAATCTGAACAAGAAGCTGACGAATAGGCCATGATCTCTGAATGGTGGCATGTGTGGTGAGCCCTCATGTTTGTTGTATTCCCAGAGTACTTTAGGTTTATTTTGAGACACTCCTGGAAAATCATTCATGTCCTTTGTCTCTGCACTGACTGTCACGTCTGCTGACCTCAACAGCAAAAAAAAAACTCAGCACCATCTAGTGGACTGAAAAAGCAAATGATTCTGTTATTCTACTACAAAAAAGATGAATTCATATTTGCAATTTATATAATGAAATATTGATACTTGACTATGTGTATCAGTATAATAATAACAATTTTATTTATTTTGAAATGTATTTACTTATTTATTTATTTACTTACTCTTAATTTTATTAACTTTGAATAAGTAAATAACTATATTTACAATATTTTGTATATCCAACAAGTGTTTTCCTGTTGTCCCTTAATGGAAAAGTAGATTACTGTAACAACTCAAAACAAAAACAAAACAAACAAAAAATATTGCTGAAACGACTTAAAGGTGATTCATATACATATTTTATGTGCTTTAAAGTGAATCTACAGCAGTCTGAGGACTCTTAGCTTTACTACATTAACATGCAAAGATACAGACAAATACAACAAATCTATCTTGTGAGCTTCTGATAGCAAATGCTTGAATGTTCTCACATATTGTTACATAGTTAAAAGAACAATCAGACTATTGTTCACAACAGCGTAGATCTGTTATTCCATCACACCGTGATCTGACCATCACATTACAGCAGTTCCTGCACTGATACCATCATTAAGACTACAAAGACTGCAGTAACCAAATGTCTATTAATTATAACATCACAGGATAAACTAGTTACTGAAACACAAACACCATCATGGTTAGAATAACAAAACATGTAAAATCCATTTAAATATATTTGTGGTGGGAATAACATTTTGAAACAAAACAACTCACATAAAACTAATTATTTAGAGACGGGCTGTTCTAGACTGCAGAAAGTACTGCTTACTTTCTCAAAAAGCATTATAGCTATTTACTTTACAATCCAACATTTTAGATTGTTGAATTGTAGATATCTCACTAGCTCGCAATGAATTTCTGACATTAGCAGGCTATAGGTATTATTTGCTACTTTACATTCAGTTTGCACTGGTTAACATAATTTAAAATGAACTCACTTAAAGTAACACGAGTCATCAAAAAGTATTAATTAGAGTGAGTACAGATATATGTAACCATGCATTTTAAGGAAATTAGAAAGTGAACAATTATTTTCATTATTAGGAGTTACTTGCCTTCTTTCATCATACATTACAAACGCAGAGTGCGCTCCTGTACACAGGACTTGGGATGCATTCAGCTAAGAAAATTATACTTTTGGTTTGGGCAAAGTTTATGAACAATGTAAAACAATGAAATGTTTTTATTTTTAAATTTGAAATGGAACACAGATCCATCCCGAAATCCTGAGTGTTTAGGCTAGTGGAGTCAAATTTAACACGTTAAAGCGATAAATTGCTAAGACCAATATTTTTAAGTATGTTAACATATTTTCATAACTTGACCCTTTAACCGATTTGTAGTTCCAGCCTGTGCTGATCTGGTTGTGCACTGTTGCGATGACTACACCACTGCAGCCCTCTTGTTCAAATAAAGCTTTTCAAGTTTCATGGATGGATCTCTTGATAAAAGGTATTTCCAGCTACCGTCATGCCATGAATTTGTTTTTCACTGAAGCACACAAAATAAAGTATCATTCACAAATAAAACACACTGCCGATGCTGGAAATACCAGTAATATCAGTAACATTAACATTAAAGGACATGTTCAGCAGAATACACTGGACAGAGCTCACAAGAGAATTATAGATATCAGACAAAATACAGAATCAACAAACTAACAAACTAACAAAAACAAAAGCAAACAAAGCTAAAAATCCCCTTGAAATAAGATGAATAAGAGATCACAATCTTGGAACAGTTGAAACATAGAGCCACTGCTGTTCTCACTGGACGGCAGTGGTAAAAATATGAAACTGTGTGAATTCTTTTCATCTTCATTATGTTATCATGGGAATTTATGTTAAGTATCAAACTGCCTTTTTATTAAGTTGATAAATAAATTCACAATTTTTATTTTGTTTATTCACTCATATAGCCATAACAAAATGTACAGTTTTTTTTTTAAGAAAAAATCTTTCTTTAGGTTTCAACCAGAAATAAGACAAATGTGATCTCAATTTATGGGAAATTCAGATATTTTTCAAAATTTCTCTGCAATTAAGCTGTTCACAAAACTGTACACAGTTTCAATCAGTGTAATGGAAAATGCTCCATTCTACAGAAAGTTAACAAGTCAGAAATGTTCACAGTGGTGATGACAGGAACCAGGAGCTGTATAACAGAAACTTCCTATCTTTTTGTCTTAACTTAACTTAAGATCTGACAAGTCAAGATAAGATATTTCACAAATACGTATTATAGAAGCAAATCTTAATTTAGGAATTAACTTAGGAAAACTTAACTTGCTCATTTGAAGGTGACAATCAACTCTCATGTTACCTAGCAACTGACCATTTAGCCAGACAGCTGGCTACTGTTACTGATGTAGAAAGGTCAAACTAAACTAAAGTGTAATAAACTGGAAGCTATGAATATTGTATCAGCGCTTTGTGCTGTTTATCAGAGCGTCACTGCTCCCAGTTTCAGTTTCCCAAATGGTTTAGCCAACCTTGCTAACATTATTCCTCCTAATAAGCAGACACACGTTCAGCTCTGTCTCCTCATTATTCACCACCATGATTGTAATACATTATCTTTATTTATTAGTTTCCAGCATCGCCTCATCAGAGCTCTGCCGGAGGAAATGTCAGCAGAACATTACGATCTGTTGCGGCAAAATGGTGTGTGCTGGATTAGCAAGGGCAGAGTGTTGGAGAGAGGGGTGCGAATTACAAGATGAACTTTGTTCTTTTCTAGACAACTCACAAAGCCAAAAGGCTCGCACCTTTTTGAATCTTCTGAACGACAGCTAAGAAGTGCCATATGTGCATTTTTTATGTGACATCTCACTGAAATCTGCTGAATTTCTAATTGCAGGTCAAGTACCATGCCGTACCATACTGAGGCAGCTGGCGCTTTCTCGGCGAGCCATTCCTTTGTTTTGTTTATTTCTTTTCTTTTGTTTATTAACCAAGTTATCCAACTGTAGTGTCATATTTAGCCAATAAAGTTTACTTTTGATTGAAGCATCCTCTGCACGAGTGTCTGTCTCTTCCCTGCATTGGTCTGTAGACTTTAAACTAAATCTAAGTTACTCTGACTTCATGATGTTATGTCTTGACATCTTGGAAAATCTAACATTTTTTAAATCTGGCCACTGGTTGTGAAAACACAGAACCCATTCTGTAGCAAGAGATTGAAGCATTTTTCTGCAAACTGGCAGGCAACATGAAATTTAAAAGTATACGGTGTCACTTATGTCCATCTCACAAGACAGGACTTGTGATCGTATTCAGTCCTAAAAGTCAAACGTTTGAGAATATCAGGAGGGTCTGATCACTCCAGAGTCTGATAAGAGAGCTAAAGACTGACCTGTTGCTCCTCTTGCACCACTTAATCATCCATGTTGTCAATCAGTTCTGATCAAGCTCCCAACCAAGTACATGAAGTCAAATTTTATAAACCTGGAGGGAACAAATCCATCAGCCCCCTCCCCTGACACCCCTCCACACTAAGCAAGAATGCAGTGAAGACAGACGTTATGTTAGATATGGACAAACATAATTTCTCCTAAATGCAAATTAAAAGGAGGCTGAGTTTGTAGAAAAGTCTCCAATTTGACATATTTTGGGTTAGCGAAGCAAAGACAGGGGTAAGCCAGGACTGTTAATATAATTTAAAGTAGAAACATTCAGCTAAGCCAGCTAGTTTGGTATTAATTTGCTAGTTAATGTACTTTTATTTATATATATATATATATATATATATATATATATATATATATATATATATATATATCCTATGTTAAGATTATATCTTATAATATTATTAATATCTTAATATCTTATAATCTTATTATATAAGATTATAATGTTAGGCCTCTTCCCTGTGAAACAAGCCTGGTGCTTGGTGCTCTTACAGCAGCACATGGCTTAGTTAAAGACTGACTGATGATTTAACCTCAGCTATCATTACTGAAATATGTTTTCTAACAGAAATTCAAAGACAAACTCTGCTCTGGTGAGATTATTATGACTGCAATGTAACCCATTTTACTATCAGAGATGATAGAGATGAAGACCATAAAGATGAGAGCAGAGGAAAAACACAGAAAGACAATCCCACCCCAATTTGACCTAAAATAGTGCCCCTTCTAATGAGCTTTACATGCTTAAAATGCTGCTTTCCAAAGCCTGCGTAAAACTCAAAATTGCCCCTAGAGGGCAGGCGTAGGTTTATTGCATTCGTAATTATATAAAATGCTATAAAAGAGGAGGCAGAACGCACTCATGCCCTTTTTTTGCCTGCTGCTTTCAATTCACGTCATATGGTAGCATCAGCACCAACTCTAAAATATGCAGTAAAATTAGCTTAAAGTCAATCTGAAATCAAAATGCCATATTGTTCCTTCATGTCCACTGTCACATTAAACAAAATTCATTGTGTAATATCATTCAAAAGATTCAAAAATTCTTGTTACTCCATGATCTTTGATTGAAGTGTAGTGATTTCTGCTTGCTTCTAAATGCTGTCTGACGTTTGACTGCATCATTGTGTGCCAACAGCTGAGAAAAACTATACTAACTCACAATATCAGAGAATACATTTTATTTATTTTTTTCCTCTGGTTTTGCTGTGAAACAGACAAATTCTCCTGATCATCAGAGTCTGACTCTATGTTCGTTCTGGAATGCTCACTTTTCACGATCCAATAAAATCTTGAGAAATAAAATTGTGTCCCTTTTACAGTTATTTCCTGCTTTCCCGAGTTTCACTTGAAATACGTCACGTTAAAGAAGAAAAATGCTTTCTGATTTCCGTTTCACATTGATTGAATTTCACAGGGAGCTGAGACGAAATGTTCACACTATAGAAGCATGTAGTATGATATCAAAATCAAGACTAAAGGCTTCCTAATCACCAGTTTCTTATTTGAATTTTCCGTTCCACCTTAAATAGACCAGCAGTTACATTATAAGCACCTGTACAGCTAACAACAACAGAGATGTCTTAGAGGAGGAGACTAGTCACTGGTTGAAATGGAAAGCTTGTAATGCTCAATTTGAATAAAAATAATAATAATGATAAATTTTACTGATGAACTAAATGCAATTGCTGGGTGAATGAAGTGTTTAAATATTGCATAGTGACTGTGTTTACTTAATAGGGCATTTATTAGAATTAGGACTGTTCTTGGTTAGTGTAACAAAAATTGACTTAAAATCAGATTTGCATACAGGATCTCAGGGTGTTAAAATAAATGTGTCTATAATGGATTTTCATGAAAATATCATGAATTTATACAGACGTGCCCTCAAAAATGTCCTTTAGAAACGCCTCAGGCCCCGCCCCTGCCAAATTCTGTGCATGCCACTGAGCGGAAGAGAGATAGATAACCCTTCAGGGATGATGATGGAGAGAGAGGGAGAGAGTAACGTGAGTACACACTTTTACTTATTTGATCTGTGTTGTTTAAAACTACGGATGAAAAAGCAGTTGTGTGTGTGTGTGTGTGTGTGTGTGTGTGTGTGAGAGACAGAGAGTGCCACTGCTTTTTTGCTGGTACTAAATGGTATAAATTCTTCAGCAGTATGCTGAAAACGTGGCCTTAAGGAATGTCCATTAATAAGCATGAATGCTAATTTAATTATAGAACATGTAGACTCTAAAAAGCAATCCTGGTCCTGGAGATCTACCTTCCTGTGGAGTCCAGTTCCAGCCATAATCATAATAATCCAGCCACACCTGCTCCAGTTCATCAGCTTCTTTAGAAGTTCTTGACTGGTGGCATCAGATGCATTTAGATGTAGGTTGGAACTAAACTGTGCAGGAAGGTAGATCTCCTAATTTTTGTGTTCAACTGGCTGAAAATGTTGTGTTTAACTGATGAAAATAAATAAAGAGATAAATAAATAAAATCTCCTTCACACAAAATAATCCCCATCAACACAACCACCCCCCCCCACCCCCCTAATCCATTAAACAGGGCTGAGCTATGCCCCCGATGTCTTTACATCCTGGCAACACCCATGGCTAGAACTGATTGCTTTTGGGAAACCTACTTAATAATGTTAATGGCTGCTTGCCATGGTACACCCAAAGTAACAACATTGTATCTCCCTCATTTCAATGACATTTACATGATAACTACACATATTCCCCCTTGTCGCTCAGACGACAAGGAGCAACCAAGTTACAAGAATAAGTAAAGCACAAATACAAAACCTGCAAAAGATCCCAATTAGCTGTAGCTCTTCAAGCAGACCACTATCTCTACTCAAAAAGTTAACACTACATAGCAAAGCAGAGTTTATGCTCATAACCCTCTTCACTCTGCACACTGACATCAGCATGAAAGGAAAGCTTGTTATCTAACTGAACTACATACAGTTACTGAATCACACAGAAGCTGATCACTCAGAACCTTCAGACTGAATATTAACACCTTCATACAGCAGCTCTCACTCTAATGAAGACATAGAGAACATTTACTCACAGAGTATTACAGAGAGAGACCTGAACTCCATACTGTCCCCGTAATGACTGACTGACTGAACAATGCTCTGTGTTCAACATTCATCACTTCCTGAGAGAGAGAGAGAGAGAGAGAGAGAGAGAGAGAGAGAGAGAGAGAGAGAGAGACACAGACACTAATTTACACTGTTCAGGACCAAAAGAGGAGCAACTCTGCGCTGCATTGCATTTATATTGATAAATTATTAATTAATGAATTAGTAGTTTAAATACATTAAAGCAGTAAATGATCACTACTTAACTACCACAGTATGACCACTGAAAGAAACTGGACTTGCACGTTAGAGTGTCATCGCATGCTGTGCAATATATCATAGATCTTCATAATCTGCACTGATCCAGATATTTTACATTAAACAGCAGCTGTGTAATGAAGATCTTCATGTGCAGCAGATCTAGAATCCTGAAACTGTCTGTCCATACATGGTGGTGAAGAGTCTTCATATAGCAAGTTTGACAGAGGAAGTGCATAGAGAGCTGCTGCAGTTTCTGCACGAGCTCTCAAAATGTTCTTGGTGTTGCTGATGCTGTTAGTGTTTAAAGTGTGAAGTGATTAGCATGCAAGCAGCCCGTAAACACAATTTGCCATTTTGTGTGGAGTGCAAACAGATCATCAGTTTAACTCCTAGAACTGCTAGTGCATGAAGATACTATGAAATGAGACTGATCTATCCTGTCCTTTAGTTACTTCTGTCCTTTCCCTGTCACTTCACCACAAGCTGAATGATGCATATGCATGATCTACTGTATGGTGTGACTTCTTGAGGGCTGTATGTGTTAACTGTCTGTTCACCAGAGCTCTGTTGCTTTCTGTTGAGGGTCAGTGTGGAAGTGATTTTCCACTGGCCACAATAAGGGCTGCTTTCCTTTTTCTGGTTTACTTTATATACCATCTATTTATAATAAAAAATTCCAGCTTAGTTCAGCAGTACTCTTTATATGAAGCTTTTTTTCTTTCTTTTTTTTTGGCATTACTAGGTTTCAGTTCCTAATGAGATGAGGGTTTCGCTGGTATGGTGTACTAGAATAGAAGTCAGACCACTAGACCACTAAACCACTAAAACAACTATTCTCAGCTCTCACACCTCAGACGTTGGGTACGTGTAAAGGTTTAGTTGATAATGTTTACAAAAACTCCATTTCTTATTTTTACCCCTACTCCTTGTTTTTGAGTGTCATCTTGCCCACTTGGAACTGGGTTACAAGGGGTAGTGTTTGAAATCTTTCCCTAGAAAAAAGGACTCTGATATATCATGATTAGTCACTGATGGCTTTTGGAGGAGTTTGGATGGCTTTTTATGGAGTTCTGCCGGACATTTCCAACATGTCAATAGTCACCCTTTTGCTGTTGTCTGCAGGCCTGTCTAGGAATGCTGGCAGATTGATTTGTGGTATGCGGGATAGACTGCAAACAACTTTTGTTGTAGTTAGCCTAGCTACACAACATGCCTGCTAGCATGTATAACATAAGTGACTTTGAGATCTGTTAACCTTTGATGAACCTGTTTGTGATACACTCTTAATTTTCTTGATTTGTGTATTTATTTCTCATAACACACGGTTTGGAATGTGCCTCTGAAAAATCTATGTTTGAAGGGCCATGTAATCCTAACACTTACACCCTTCTATCCCAACAAGATTTGGGACATCCTACCCCTAGGAGTTAACGTGCAAAACAGAAGAGTAGGGCTAAATGGTAGGGACAAGGGTGAAAGGGGATTGAGCCTTAGAGTGTACAGACAGGTGGATTGACCTGGCGATTCTCCCCCGGACTTGACCTTTTTGTTGACCCCATAAATCTAGCCCAATGTAACTACACTGTGCGTATCACAAACATTAGGGAACTACATTAATTCAAATACTTGATAATACAATTGAACTTTCAATTGAACACAGAGAACACAACACCATAAAATAAGGCATTTTACATTGTCCACACTGAAAGACTCATAGAACAGCATGAGAATTCCAGTATGTTTTCAAAATCTGTGCATAACTAAATGATTAAGATATAAACAAACTTATTCAGAGTGATTTGATTTGAAATGCTCCATTCTATTGAAAGTTAGAGTCAGTATTTTTCACAGCAGGGTTGATGGGAACCAGACGTCCGACACTTTTAAGAAGTTTAACGCCTTTAAAAACTTCCTCACAGAAAATTATCACATAAAACGGTTAGAAACAAGTTGCCTGATGTCTGAGACATTGTTTTATGATAGATCTGAAGTTTTTTTTGGCCTAATTATTTATTTATTTGTTTATTTTTTTTTATATGTTCATGGTGGAGAGGTACACGCAGGATGTTGTAAGGCAAAATAGTCCTACAAGAAAGCATTTATCACACTTTTACCATCATCAACACTACATAAAGTGCACCCCACGCCCCCACCACCCCACCCCCCGCAAATACTGGTACCCCTGATATATATACACCCCTGAAATAAATATTTTTCTTAAATCTGTGAGTGCCACAATTGTTGGCACCCCTAGAAAATCTTAAGAGTGAAATCTATCTAAGTATATTCCCATTCATATTTTATGTTTTTAAGTTTAGCTGAGTGATTAGGAACACTTAACTAGTCAACCATGACTTCTTGATTCACTGGGGTATATAAGATGAAACACAGGCCGGATACCCTCAGTCATCTATTGCGATGAGACAGACCAGAGAAAACAGAAATGATGTGTGACAAAAGGTTGTCGAGCTGCACAAATCAGGAAATGGCTACAAGAAAATATCACAACACTTGAAAATGCTCATTTTCAGTATTAGGGCAATAATAAGAAGTTTAAAGAAACTGGAGATGTTAAGAATCTGCCAGGAAGAGGATGTATGTCTATACTGACCCAGGCACAGAGAGGAGGATGGTTTGAGAGGACAAAGAATCTCTAAAGATCACAGATAGGGAACTGCAGACATTAGTTAGGTCACTTTGTCTCCCAAACCACAATCAAACACCACCTATATAACCAGGGGTTGCCAGAACAAGGCTTTTGCTATCAAGGACCAACAGCTCAAGCACCTACAGTTTGCCAGACCTGGAACTTTCAGTGGGACTGTATTCTATGGTCAGATGAGACCAAAATAGAGGTTTTTGGCAACAAACACCAGAGTTTGGCGTGGACACAAAAATAGCCATGCAGAAAAGTATCTCATCCCCAGCGTGAAGTATGGTGATGGATCTGTGATCCTGTGAGGCTTCTTAAAGGCCCTGGACAACTTGTTCTGATACATAGTATCACAGACTTCATCGAGTGCCAACAGAAGTAAGATCAAAACCTGACTGCATCAGCCAGGAAGCTCGAACAGCACCATATCTTGGACATTTCAGCAGGACAATGATCCAAAGCATGTCTCAAAATTAACACAAAAATGGTTCACTGACCACAGTGTTAAGGTTTTGCCATGGCCACCACAGTCCCCTGAACTAAACCCACAGAAAACCTGTGGGATGAGTTGGAAAGGAGAGTCCACAGTGTGGACCTCAGAATCTGAAGGATCAGGAGAGGTTCTGTATGGAGGAATGGCCTCAGATCATTTGTCATGTGTTCTCTAGTCTCATTAAGCTTTACAGAAGTAGACTCAGAGCTGTTCTCTTTGAAAAGTGAGGCTGCCCAAAGTATTAAATGAAGGGGTACCAACAATTGTGGCACACACAGATTTTAGAAAAATATTTATTTTCTGAAATTTTATTTTCTATTTTTTTTTTATTATTGTACTCAAAAAAATCAGACTTTTCCTAATTTTTTAAACATAAGATCAAAAGGATTAACAATGATGAATATTTTTTAAAGCCTGTTTTACTCATATTTACCAGGGCTGCCAATATTTGTGAAGGGCACTGTGTACAAACTCAAAAGACACATTTAGGTTCACCGGTCATTTTGGATAGAAAGAAAAATGGTTATATTTGTGTTGTAGGTATAGTGACCCTACAATCTACCTCTTCATATCAAACTACTCTGAATGACTTTGTTTACATCTCATTGATTGAATCACAGAAATTTTGAAAAATCAGTGGAATGTCCCTTTAAGCTGGGCCTGCACTGGCCTGATTTGGCCTTTCCAACAAATTTTGACAATCTGAAGTGATTTTCCAGGTCAGTAGAGACTGACGGAGCAGATGATCAGGCAGTGTGAGAAGAGACTCTAGTCAATCTTTAGCCTTCCAATCGAGTCTTTTCCTTTAGAAAGTCTTCTTCCTGGTTCGGCATCTTGGCTTTGCACTGCTGTGGACTCTCTGGTCTCCTTTACCTACTAAAACAACACACCAGTCAAAGCCATTGACTGATTATCCACTGATGCTTGAACACGCCCCACTGCCACAGTCTTTAACTTACTGCTGTAATAAGGCACAAAATATTGTTGATCACAGTGTCAAACATTATTATTATGGCTGCGCTTGTCGTTTCTACATCCCTCTTTCTTCACATAGACTCCCATTCATTTTGAACAACATGTAGCTATCACTTAGCAACTACCTATGAACGACTTAAACACCTCATACATCATGGCAACCGTCTAGCAAGAATGCAGCAGCTGCATCGGATACCATAGCAACTACCTTGCAACATTTTGGCAATCACCTGGAATACCACAGCAACCACCTAGCAACACCATAGCAACTACCTGTGATACCATAGCAACCACCTAGCAACACCTTAGCAACCACCTGGTACCCCATAACAACTGTCTCGGAACACCGTTGCAAACACCTTGGATACCATAGCAAACACCTAGCAATACCTTAGCAACCTCCTGGTACACCACAGCAACCGCCTAGCAACCACCTGGGATACAATTCCAAACCCCTAGCAACACCATAGAAAACACCTGTGCTACCTTAGCAACCACATAGCAACACCGGAGCAACCACCTTGGATATCATAGCAACCACCTAGCAACCTAGCAGGAAGTGGAAACCATTTAAGCTGTGCAACCATTCTGCGTTTCCTTCAGGAAATGCATGTTTCCAGTTATTATTGAAACTTTTTCTGGGTTTTATTCTCTGCAGTAGCTGCTGTGTTGCTTAGTTGACTACTTATTGTACTTAATGCCTTTTA